ATGTGTGGGTGTCAAGCTCAGCTGCAATGAGTATCTGCTCCACACAGCACCCCCCCCCACCACCACACCCTCTCCATCCTCACTTGCCCCATAGCCCATAACGCTCAAAACTCAGGCAATGAGGAAACCAATTTGGAGGGGGGAGGGAAAGGAGATATCCAGAGCCGATGGGACCCCAACTGTGGAAGCGTACTGTAGTCACATTAAAAAAAACAATTGCAAAGGACAAGGAACAGAGAAAACTGGGGAAATAATTGGCAGTGTGAAAAAACAGAGGTTTGTCTCATAATACGCTGAGACACTGAGATACCGTGGCTCCATCCTGTGGCCAAACTAGACAAGAGCAGCAAACCCGTCTGCTTTCTCCTTGCCGATGAATCGTTGAGTATTGTAAGAAAGTGTTACAAAAAAGTTTAAAATAAAATAGCAGTTTTTTTTACACCAGACAAGAGCTCAAAAAAAGGAATTTAAAGGGAGTTTCGCTGCAGATGAATAAGGGGAAAACTCCGCAGGGATATCTCCCGTGCATTGTGGCTGAAAACATATGGGCCCTTTTCCTTGGGGATTTGGGGCCCTTTTATTTTGTGGCCAGTCTTTCTCATTAAAAGTTTCATGCTTGGTGCTTGCCAGATGCTTTTACTTGTTTGCGTTGTGATGCATTGCAACAATGGGAGGGAGGGAATGAAGGAGGTGAATGATTATTCTGCTCGCTATGTTCTGCACAGTACATTTACTGGTGTGCCTGTAAGGCAAAGTGTATTGCTCCTGCATTCGATAGCTCTTGCTGTGCACTTTTAATGCAATGTTAGAAGCCTATTACACTTCTGAAATTGTGTAACAGATAGGCCGATGGGGTTAAATTCTTTACACCTCCCAGAAATGGGGGTGCGAAAGGGAAGGGAGGGGTAGCCAACGCAACAGCGCTCAGCACGTAGTAATACATGTGCTACTTGGAACAGAATAATAATAATAATCCTTGCATTTCCTATAGCGCCTCATCACGCTATTGAGATGTCTCAGAACGCTTCACGCCTTATGCTGTGAAAGTGAAACTTCACACCTTGACTGTGTATTTGTGGGGGAAATATTTTTGTTCTAACCTCATAGACACAATAGTCTTGGTGCATTATCAAGGGCACTGGAGCAACACACTTGATGGTAGTCACTCTTGTTGCCATTGTAAAGACAAGATACGGCTGTGTTGAGGAGTCATCACTTTTTTTCTGAAAGAAAACGCATCTATTCTGTAAAATTTGCGGTGTTCCTTAAGGTGTTCCTAAAATTAGCGCTGACGTAACACAATTCCCCACCTTCTGCGCCAACGCTCCACATAAGAGCAACGAATGACAGCAATGGACATTACTTTCGATCCCCGCGAAACAGTCCATTTGCGTTTCAAGTGTGAAAATGTTTCCCGAAAAAAAACATTTCAGCAGTTAATCCTTTAGAAAGCTACACGTGATATTAATCTCGGATAAATTAGAGGCTGAAGCTGACGGGCGCATTTCCCTGGCAGAACCGGAGCCAAGTGGAGTCTAATCTGAATCACTGTATTGATGAAACACTCTGCCACCTTCAGGGTTTTTTTTCAGTGCAATTTATCAATGGAAATCAACTGATGGGCTGGGAAATTGGTGTCCTCGGAGCTGGTGCTCTCTGGTGCTCGCTTTCTCAGCTGAGCTCAAGCAATTCAGCATTTAGACGGCAGATCGAAGCCGTCTCGCACTCAGCCACTGAGTGGGGATGTGTGTGCCACACTGGTCCTTTCGTTCATTAGCCCCTGACTGGAATTAACTACACATGTTTTTTCCTCTTCTGTCCTTTACCCCCCCTTGTTTCCTCCTCCTTCCAACCAACCAATAAATAAATCACAGGTTCACCTCGCAGCCTGCAGACAGGAGATTACTAAATGTGTTTTGCACCAGACTGCTGCTGTTAAAATGAAGAATAACATCTTTTTCGCACTGTTGTATTTTGCCCTAGTTTTTACATTGCCTCACGCCTCCCAAGCCAGAAGATTCAAGTCGTGGGTTCGGACTTTGGGCTCACAACCTGGGGTTGACACTCCAGTGCAGTGCTGGGGGGAGCACTGAATCGTTCGAGGTGCCATCCTTCAGAGAAGATGTTAAACCGAGGTCCTGCCTGTTTGTTCAGGTGAACGTGAAAGATCCCATGTCAGTATTCGAAAAGAGCTGAGAGTTTCACCCAGTGTTCTGTCCCAGATAAAATCAATCATTCACTTCATGGCTGTTTAGGTGCAAATTAACTGCTGTGTTCGCCTACAAAAATATACACGCTACATTAAATCCTGTGAGGGGCTTTGTGACATGACAAGATGCTATTAGCAAATGTAAGGATTATTATTAGTATTATTGTATCATCTTATTATATTTTTAAAGAAACATCTTTTTATAATCCCTTTGAAAAAATAACAATTTGGTCACTCAATCCCTGACTGTTTGTGGGGCACTGCTGTGCGCAATTGGCTGCCGCATTTCACCCACAAAATATACAGTCAATTCACTTCACAGTGTATTTTGTGAAGTGCTTTAGGATGCCTCAACGATGTGATAAGGCGATAAGGATTATTATTATTATTACATTATTTCCCTCCAATAATCCTTTCCCCACTTTTCACAGATGAGACGGTAGGTAGGTGACCAACACTGTGTCACAGCAACCAGGGTGAACTAACCCAGTTAGCAGAGGCACGACTGTGTGAGATTGAAACGTGTCCCAGGTTTGATGCACAGTCTGTGCTGAATTAAGTCGATCTCAGCTTGATAACGGTTGTGTGTGAGCTACAAGTGCCCTCAGTGCCCGTGGGCTGGAGTGACAAATTAGTCCCTGTCTTCGTTGCAAAGTACGCGTGAGAAAAACTGCTGGAAAAAATATAGGTTCCATCTATAAATGTAAAAATTGAGTGGCTGTGTCAGACCAGGGGAGCATGCTGCATTTCGCACAGACCTCTGTGTTCTCAGTCAAGATAGGTCAGGTGGTAAGGACATCCTGCAGATCCATCAAAACGCATTTAAGGGGAGTGCGGAGAGTAAGAGAAACTCACTCATCCACACCAGACAGTAAGTGACACAACCGAGGGATAAATGAGGCTTCTGGGGGCAGCAGCGTTCAATTTCAAGCCACTTTACAGCTACATCACAAAGCCTTTACATCAAACCTGCGGGGCTGTACACAGCTCGGTGTCTCCTGGGACCACAGACAGCACATTATTCCAGCTTACGCTCTTTACTTTTTAATGTCCATGATGTGCTTTCTTTCCTTCAATTTGCCCTCTGATTCCTCCCTCCCCATCCCCAACTCTCCCACTTTACCTTATGTTCACAGTATTGTTGTTGCCAAGCATTTTTCTCCCTCATTGGGTCCAACAGCCTGTCCTGTAAGTCGACACGCGTTGTAGTACCTTTTCTCTCTTAACCCTGTCTTTTTCGAGTTACGTAACCTGGGTGTTACTCTATTGCAGTTATCGTTTGCTTGCACGATACACAGTCACTACACTTTACACTGAATCCTGTGAGCACTCCTGATGTGAAAAGGCGCTGCATCCAACGCAAGGATTATCATCATCATTATTATTATTTATCCTGTCTGCCTGGTTCAGCTACACAAAATTTTGCATCATCTTAGGTTGGGCGGCGGCTGGGGGGATGGGGTGGTTTCTTTTAAAAAAAATTATTTTAATTCTGCTGCCCTAAATTCTGCAGTCGTAAATTTTAAGATAATGGCCTTAAGGCTAAGATTATGGAATTTGGTGCCTCCACCGACTCGATCGTACCCACAAACTCCTGCGATCAATCTTCTTACGGCGACTGAGTCGAGGTTCGCTCCACCTCCTAACTCCCCGCTGTGTGATGTGGACACATGCAGTTGAATGGCATGTCAAACCTCGATAGACAGCGTGTGTGGAGTAGTGGTGCTGTCATTGATTAATAGGTTGCCAGGCTGCACCTGCACAGTGCCAGTCACCCGCTGAGCTCCTCGCTCACTCACGCTCACTGTCAGGCAGGAGGGCACTGAGCAGAGTGCCAGTGTCTCACCGCAAAGGGAGAGACCACAAAAGCCGGGCAACGTGCAATATTCAAAGCTGAAAAGGCTTGAAATGTGCAGCAGGTAAACGAGCAGCTGATCTGTGTCAGCTCTGATACAAGGTCAGCCTCGAAGCTGACTTTGCCCGGCATTTTCCTGGGGAGGGGGTGAGTTCCCAGCTATTTATCTCCCGTCCTCTCCAGAAGCCGTCAACTCCTTTTTCCTTTCACTGGTCGGAGGCGTGGAACACCGAAACTGGCGAACAGAGACTCTGCTTCTCTTCAGCTGCAAACTGGAGACTCTCTCTCAACACAGCTTCAAAAAAACACGCTTGTACTCAGCAATGAGCCGGTTTCATTTTGCCAACATTGAGCACTGCCAGATCAGGAATGATGTTTTGCTTTACTCTGGCTCAATGCAAGAGAAGTGCCCGCACCTTTCCGCGCCAGTGAGGCATTCTCTATTTCCCACAACAGCTGAGCAGCATTGCCAATTGCAGGGCCGTTGTGTGTGCTTTGCGCTGGCTGCTTACTGTCAACCTCATTTCATAGTTAGAAAGCCAGGATTTTCTCCCGAGTCAAGCTCTACCCTGCGTGAGAAGCGCTATGAAGTGCAAGCTGTTGTTGTTGTGAGGCTTTGAACTTTAGTCTCCCAAATCACCTGATCAAAATGACTAATTTCTAGGCCCTCATCACCCAGTGCAGCCAGGGTGCTGAAACAGGTAACATTGCTCCATAGATTGTTGCAACACGATGCCAGGCCATTCAACCCAACTCATTTGTGCTCCAAACAAGCCTTTAGCCCCCTCCTAATACTCTACTCCCTTCTCCCTCATACATGCACCAAGTTTCCTCTTAAATATGATGCTTTCAGTTTCAATCATCATGATTCATTTCAAGGTGTTGCTCTTCAATGTTTGCTAAAAGCTCAACAAAAGAACAGAATGAAAAGGGCAGAATATAAAATGTTTTAATTTATATCGATACAAATTGGATTATATAATTGATCATAAGGTAAAATCCCAGGCACTGACAGCAATACCTTCAACCACCAAAGGTTAAACTTGTGCTTCTCCAGTAATGGTGCTCACTGGTGTGTTCCTGACACCACTCCATCGGCTCTGTGACTCAGTGCCCAGGAGGGAACAACATTCCTGTTGTTGAAGCAGAAAGAAGGACAGCTGAGGGAATTCACTCGGAAGTCAGCAGGGATCTCTTCAGTTCCTGCGTGCTGGTAACAACTGGAGAAGCGTTTGCACATTGATAATACGCTACAGATCTTACAGCCAATCTTACTCCCCCTTCTGCTATTTTGATCCTTAACACAACCATTTGAAATATACCTTGTCACGGTTACCTATATTCAGTCCGCAGGGTAATCCTGTGGTGGCTAGTTTCCATGTATTTTATGTTGTCTCTTTTCTCTTTCCCACCCCACGCACCCCCACCAAAAAAAAAAACAGACTGAAAAACCATCACTGACTTTCAAGAATTTTGTGCTATGGTTTATTTTCCACTTAACTGAGTGTCAAGAACCCATTTATCTAGAAACCCTAACAGCAGTCATGGAGAGCAAATCACTATTCCTCTGCCTGCTTTGCCTTCGAATCCTCAGGAGAGTCAACGGGGGTTCCAAATCGCTGTGAACCAAGTCATTTCAGCAGCACTTATCTTACCAACCCAGTTTTTACCGCAGTGCAATGCTGCGTAGCTCCCAACAGAGTCCCCACTCGCATAGTTGAGCACAGAAGCAACAGCTTGAAGCAACTTTAACCCGGCCGCCGCTAACAATAAACGGATTTTCAAAAGAGCTCTCGAGGTATTGTTCTGGAGCAGTGAGTGCGCCATTCTGCAGCTGCCCCTCTGCCAAGTGATGCATTTCCTAACAACTGAATTGATGAAGATCTTCAAGGTTTTATAAAAAAAGAATTACATAACGTTAGCGGTCCACCAGCTCCCTGCGCTCTGCCCCCATCCCCACATCTTCTCACCGCTCCTTATAAAATAATCACCATTTCCTGCTGAAGGCAGCTTAATAGTCCTGCGAATGAGCCCTATCTCCGGGCTGCAGGTTTGTGCGCAGCTTGTGCATCTGGTTCAGTGATTCGGTGAGGAACGCCCCGATTGTGTTGATCTCCATCAGAGTCAGGTTGTCCAGCTAGAAAGGAGAACGAGAAAGTTCCCGTGAATCGCATGAACAACAAAATTAGCCTTCCTGGATGTCAGTGGCAGCTCTGACTTTAAAATCCCGTGAAATCTAACTCAGAATCCCACCTAGTCTCTTGTCTGCAAGACCATTTTGTATTAAAAATGTAAGGGTTGAAACAGAATTTAATTTGCCAGCCAGTTCTTTTTAAGAAGCATTAGGAAGGTGGCACCACAGATATTTCTGGAGTATAATGCCATGGGTTTCCATATGTGTGCTTGACTTGTGTCAGCTGAGGGACAGGATTAGCTCGGAGCAGTCCAACCAATGTGTGTATTCACACATTTCAGCAGCCTCCCTTAGGAACAATGTTGGATACCTATCAGAAATGAGAAGAAAGCAGAGACTCCATTTCGACCTCACATTTGAAAGATATCCAATTAACAGAGCAATGTGGTGATGGCTTCCACGTTACTGCATTGCAGGGTTGGCCTAAGCTATGAGCTCAATTCCTGGGGGTTGGGCTCAAAGCTTTCAGTGAATCTTCATATGATTAAACATTTACATTGAGAAGCAAGGCTTGTGCTAACTCTAAATGTTTGTTTGCTGATCTTCAAGGCGAGCTAAGGCCGTTGATGAAAACAACGCCCTCCAGTGGAAACAAAGCTGAATACAAGGACAAAGAATGAGGATTGAAATTGAATTTAAAAACACTCCCAAAGTCTGAGGAATTCCAAGTAGTTTCCAAATTGGAACTTCACGTTAGTGTGAGCACAGGGCTGCTGTGGCGATGGGCACCTTACCTTTGCGTGTGCCTCTTGCTGATTCACAAAGCTATCCGCAGACAACCGCAGCTTGGCAATGCGAGTATCCCAGGTATCTTTGATCAACGTCCGGATTTCATCTGCTTTGGGGATGTTGTCTGAGGCACTGGAGAGGAGGAAAGAGAGTTCTAAGAAGCAGGTCAAAGAAACATAATATTTTTGAGAAGTGTTAGTGTTTACCCGTTTCATTTACCAGACAAACTTCAATTCACCATTTCACTGCAGAGTGCAGAGGCCAACTGGACTGGACCACTTCAACTGAGGTATTAATAATTATCATCCAATAAACCCAATTTTAATCTGAAGGATTATTGACCAAAACATCAGGAGAAACTTGTTTCCCTTTTTCAACTGTGTTGCGGGACCTTTAATGTCCACCTGAACTGGCAGACAGGACCTCGGTTTATTATCTCATCTGAAAGACTGAACCTGCAACAATGCAGCACTGGTTATACTCACTGGTTTAACAATAACTGGGTCAGTTCCATATAGTGAGGGCTGGGCATCGGGGTGAAAGGTTCTTCTTTTCGCTCTTGCTCTTTCATTTGTTCAAGTTTTTCTGAAAAGTCAGTGAAGAAATATGTCAGTTTTATGTATCTGTATGATTCCTTCCTCTCCCGCCGAATCCTGGCAATGTATGAAACATAAATCATTCGGCAGCTTGGCACAACCTGTGTCTGGACTGATCAGATATGTAAGGGCCCTTTATACGTATTATTACTATGCTCTACCCAATGCCATTGGCAGCACTCCAGGACATTCTCCAGGTTTAAGTTGTTGTAAGTTTTCTGTGAAGAACTTTGAGATGTCTCGAAGATGTGATAAGGCACTATATCAAATTCAAGGATTATATATTACATTATTGTAGTCTTATCAGACCAGACCTCTCCCTCCTCTGATAAGGAGGGAGATGTCTGGTTTGATAAGACTACAATAATATAAGGAATCTCACTCACCTACATCCATCCAGGCGGGGGGCACGATTCTGCACTTCTGTCTCTGTTTCAGATTAATCGCAAGCCACACGGGCACATCCACTGGCATCCCTGGATTGAACGGTCCCAAATCTCCCTGCGTACAAAGAGACATCAGCGCCTGCTGAATAACTGCTGGTAACTCTTCACTCTAAGGGAAAAGGGCTCAGTGACGAGGGTTCCGGAGTGGCAAGTTAGGTGGATGTGTAAATACAAAAACAAATGCAGACGGGATACCGACAGCTTGACGACTTGAATGGTTGTGAGAATTTAAGTCAGGGTTGGGCTATAAGGAGTTTACTGAAATAAACAATTATACTAACAATAATAATCCTCCCATTTTATATAGCGCCTTGTCACATCTCAAAGCGCTCAACAGGGAGGGTTTACTGCAAAGTGGTGCGGTTGAAATTGGCTGCCACGATCGCCCGAAAATACAGTCTCTGCATTTTACAGTTAAGATGTGTGAAGCGCTTTGAGACGTCTGGAAGACGTGAAAAGCGCTATATCAAATGCAAAGATTATTATTATTATTCATTATTTATCTATTACATTATAGTTATTACACAGTGTTTATGACATACAATGTTATACGGTGTCCTGTAACTCAGTGGTTAGAGCACTCGCCTTGCAAGCGAGACATCTGGGTTCAATTCCAGGCAGAGGGCGAAACCTTGGGCAAGTTTCCTTACTCCACACAGAGCCTAATAATAATCCCTCCAAAACAAAAAACAATAATAAATTGGTCATCTTCAATCTACGACTGTTTGTGGGACATTGCTGTGCGCAATTGGCTGCCGCGTTCGCCCACAAATATACAGTCAATTCACTTTACAGTATATTCTGTGAAGCGCTTTGAGATGTTGAGAAGACGTGAAAAGCGCTATATCAAATGCAAAGATTATTATTATTATTATAATAAGATGTAGTTACAATGACCAGGATTGCAACCACAATTACATTTATTAGTTGTTATTTTTTTGGTGTGTGACTTTAATAATGATTATTTTAATGACAATAAGTGATGATGGTGAGGCTGATGGTGAGGATGATGATGGGGGTGAGGAAGATGATGGTGGTGAGGATGGTGAGGATGATGATGGTGAGGGTGAGGATGGTAAGGATGATGATGGTGAGGATGATGATGATGGTGAGGATGATGGGGGTGAGGATGAGGATGGTGAGGGTGATGATGGTGAGGGTGATGGGGGTGAGAATGATGATGGTGAGGGTGATGATGGTGAGGGTGATGGGGGTGAGAATGATGATGGTGAGGGTGATGATGGTGAGGATGGTGAGGGTGAGGATGGTGAGGGTGATGATGGTGAGGGTGATGGGGGTGAGAATGATGATGGTGAGGGTGATGATGGTGAGGGTGATGGGGGTGAGAATGATGATGGTGAGGGTGATGATGGTGAGGATGGTGAGGGTGAGGATGGTGAGGGTGATGATGGTGAGGGTGATGATGGTGAGGGTGATGATGGTGAGGGTGATGATGGTGAGGGTGATTGGGGTGAGGATGATGATGATGAGGGTGATGGTGGTGAGGGTGAGGATGGTGGTGATGATGGTGATGATGATGGTGATGGGGGTGAGGGTGAGGATGGTGATGGTGAGGATGGTGGTGATGATGATGGTGAGGGTGAGGGTGATGGGGGTGAGGGTGAGGATGGTGATGGTGAGGATGGTGATGATGATGATGATGGTGATGGGGGTGAGGGTGAGGATGGTGGTGGTGAGGATGATGGTGATGGTGGTGATGATGATGATGGTGATGGTGGTGATGATGATGGTGAGGGTGATGGGGGTGATGGTGATGGGGGTGAGGGTGATGGTGAGGGTGATGGTGATGGGGGTGAGGGTGATGGTGATGATGGTGATGGCGAGGATGGTGGTGATGATGATGGTGAGGGTGAGGATGGTGAGGGTGAGGATGGTGATGATGATGATGATGATGGTGGTGATGATGATGGTGAGGGTGATGGGGGTGATGGTGATGGGGGTGAGGGTGATGGTGATGATGGTGATGGCGAGGATGGTGGTGATGATGATGGTGAGGGTGAGGATGGTGAGGGTGAGGATGGTGATGATGATGATGATGATGGTGGTGAGGGTGAGGATGGTGGTGATGGTGATGATGATGATGGTGATGGTGGTGATGATGATGGTGAGGGTGAGGATGGTGGTGATGGTGATGGTGATGATGGTGGTGATGATGATGATGATGATGATGAGGATGGTGATGGTGATGGTGATGATGGTGGTGATGGTGATGGTGATGATGGTGATGGTGGTGATGATGGTGGTGATGGTGATGGTGATGGCGAGTGCTCGCGGGGCGGAGGCCGACACTCACGGTGATGAGGTAGATTTTGTCGGAGCTGAAATTCGGGATAATCGTCACCGTCTCTTTCTCCGCCAGAAATTCCACCTCCGCCGCCTCCATCCCCGGACCCCCAGACCCCAGACCCCGGGCCCCAGACCCCGCCCCAGACCCCAGACCCCGGCCCCAGGCTCCGGCCCCGCGCGACTCAGGGCCTCAGTTCTCAACTGTCAACCGTCCCGCTCGAACCCAGATCCCCCGGAACCGGAAGTGCCGCTCCCCCGCCCGCGGTCAACACGCCCCCTGGCAACGCGTCCCTAACAACACGTCCCAACCCTCCTGGCCACGCTTCCCCCGCAACCCATCCCAACCCCCCCCCCGCAACCCATCCCAACCCCCCCCCCCGCAACCCATCCCAACCCCCCCCCCGCAACCCATCCCCCCCCCAACCCATCCCAAACCCCCCCCCCGCAACCCATCCCAACCCCCCCCCCGCAACCCATCCCCCCCCCCCCGCAACCCATCCCCCCCCCCAACCCATCCCAACCCCCCCCCGCAACCCATCCCCCCCCCCAACCCATCCCAAACCCCCCCCCCGCAACCCATCCCCCCCTCCCCCGCAACCCATCCCCCCCCCGCAACCCATCCCACACCCCTCCCCCGCAACCCATCCCACACACACCCCCCGCAACCCATCCCACACCCCCTCCCCCCGCAACCCATCCCAACCCCCCCCCCCGCAACCCATCCCACACCCCCCCCCCGCAACCATCCCCCCCTCCCCCGCAACCCATCCCACACCTCCCCCCCGCAACCCATCCCACACACACCCCCCAACCCATCCCACCCACCCCCGCAACCCATCCCACCCACCCCCCCGCAACCCATCCCACCCACCCCCCCGCAACCCATCCCACACCCCCCCCCGCAACCCATCCCACACCCCTCCCCCCGCAACCCATCCCAACCCCCCCCGCAACCCATCCCCCCCGCAACCCATCCCACACCCCCCCCGCAACCCATCCCCCCCCCGCAACCCATCCCACACCCCCCCTGCAACCCATCCCACCCCCCCCACCGCAACCCATCCCACACCCCCCACCGCAACCCATCCCACACCCCCCCCCGCAACCCATCCCCCCCCCGCAACCCATCCCACCCCCCCCCACCGCAACCCATCCCACACCCCCCACCGCAACCCATCCCACACCCCCCCCCCCCCGCAACCCATCCCAACCACCCCCCCAACTCCCCCACTGGCAATCCATCCCAACCCCCCCCTAGTAATCATCCCAACCCCCCTGGCAACGTGCCCCTGGCAACGTGCCCCTAGCAACCCATCCCAACCCCCCTGGCAACGTGCCCCTAGCAACCCATCCCAACCCCCCCTGGCAACGTGCCCCTAGCAACCCATCCCAACCCCCCTGGCAACGTGCCCCTAGCAACCCATCCCAACCCCACTGGCAACGTGCCCCTAGCAACCCATCCCTTAGAAATCCTGCCCCTAACAACGTTACAGCACCCTGTGTGATGGGGTCTGGAACATGTCAAAACTGATGCATTACAAACACAATGTGTGGAATATCCTCCCGTGGCTACGCAATCACATTTTCGGCTTTATTGAGGTTTCTCAGTGAAAATACTAAGCACCTCAACACTCAAGCACATATCTCCTGGATACTGTCATACAATGCCTCCGCCTTGCCCTTTCTTTCCCCATCTTCCGATCGCACCTGAAGACGTTCCTCTTCGATCGTGCCTAAGGTCACCACCACTTTCTCCCCGGCTTAGTGTCATTGTTTAGCGCTCTGAGACCCTACCCCATGGGGAAGGCACTGTATAAATGTGAGTTGTTGTTGTTGTGAGAGTGTTCCAATAAATGCTGGAGGCATTGTGATTATAAAATAAAACAATGTATTTAGTTTGCAAAGCCCTTACAGATTTTGCATAAGTATCACTACGTTTATTCTTAGGCTTTCTTTGTCATTTGGAAGTGTAGATCAACCCCCATCAGTCTGCACTCCACCCACAGGGTCACATTATGTTTGGAGAAGGGTTTAATACATGTCCTGAAATGATGGGGTGAATTTGGATGGGTTCAGTGGGGTTTTCTCATTCTTATCTTCTCATCATCAACTGCAACAACAAATTGCATTTATATTGCGCCTTTCGCATCGGTAGAACGTCCCAAGACCCACGTGTGATGCCTGCTAATGGATCTGGTAAATAGATTCCTACTTTGAATCCATTGCACTACATACCCACACAGTCGATGGCACATGCTGTTTATTTTGCAAAAGGTATAAAGATTATAAATCACTGTCACTTGGCTTACATGTAAATATTTTGTAAAACATATGTTTCTACTGTTCAACATAAACTAAGCTAAGAACATACTGTTATAAAAGACAGGATAGTTTTGTTAGTTTGGTGTTGGCACTTGTTTATGTTTTTGCTTCAAAAGTTATTTTGAAAACAGTTAAATAATAAGGGATTGTTGCACAGTATTGGGAACTGAACTCAACTCCAACCAACGACACCATTCTCAGTGGATTAGTCCTGTCTGTGGTTCGAATGGAGATCAAGGTTTGATTCTTTCAAGAACTAATTAGATAGATTTTTGTTAGGAAATAATATCTCGGAATAGAGTGTATAGTTTGGGACATGACATGTGCATGTGATTGCCAGGATGATGGAAGGCAAATTGGATGAACCTTGGTCTTCATTTGCAAATTCTTATGTTCTTCTGTTCAAAGTTTGCTTTGATGATGAAATTGTCACATCTGCTTTGCCCTTGTGAAGTGTCTCACTCTACAGTGTAATTTCTTTAGTTTTCCAATATAAATATATATAGTATATCTCACATTTCCATTTCTGAGAGATGGGGTGAGGAGTGGCAGTGCAAGGTGCTATTTCCCGTTTGGCTATCGACATTGCAAAAGCTCCTGACATCATGCGCGTGTGGATTATTATGCCTTTCGCCTTCTGTTGGCTGTCACAATGAATTACAATTTTTCCCATCTGTCCTCTTCGCCATTNAAAAAAAATCCTTCAGGCATTAACAGTATGAGAAGGAGCTGGCATTCCCAGATGGTCCTGGTTTAAGGATCTTGCGGTCTTCAGCATGTTGGACATGTTAGTATGTTAGCATCAAACTCAGTCTTTGGTTCCTGCTAAGAACTTGCATTGTTATATTTATTTAATATATTGTTACATATTCTGCGTCTCAACGGCGTGATAAGGTGCTGTATCAAATGCAAGAATTATTATTATTATTATTATTATTGCAAGACTCAACCAGACCAGGTGTGCTCCAGGATCTCTGTGTGAATTGATTTTGAGTCAACGGAACCCATTGCTAGCAGTAGAAAGAAGAAACAATATTTTTTTAAAAAAAAACACTTTTTTTTTGTTACATACATACACATAAAAAAATAAATCCTTAACGTGGTGGGGAAAAAATTCTCAAACAAGTCAATCTTGCGAAGAAGTGTGTGCGACAAGTTCAAAACTTTTCATTTCTTCAGTGGGTGAGAGAGAGAGAGAGAGAGAGAGAGAGAGAACTGATTGACAGATCAAATCTGTGTGAGGTTTATCATTTGCATTCGAAGTGAAACAAGACAGATGGCGTGTGTGCAACCTGCTGTGAACGCCGTTTCAATCTGTGGATGTATTTGTTTTTGATGTGAGCTCGCCTGGATTTTTCCAGTCTCCTCTCCTCTCTTTCTCTCTCTCGCTCGCTGTCTCTCCCTCTCTTGATCTCTTCTCAATTTAACATCTGTTTCGGTAACTATCGTCCACCAGCGATTCCCTGTCAGCAGGTTTGGAGGCGTCTGGTGCTGAGAGCACAGTGGGGGTGGGAGGTGTGACGATTATATCAGGGATATTCAAGCGATTCTGCCCTGAACGACCTCTCTCATTGTACTCGCCTTGCAAACACAAGCTGCAACCTGGAGACAAGGCAAAACAACAATTGTTTCCCAAATCATACACAGTATTCAATTTGTCTTTGCAAACCAGCTTTCCTGAAGAGAATTAATTTTGTTAAGTTAATGTTCAGGTAAAGCTACAGAGTTTAATGTCAAAGATGAGAACTTTTATTTGACTCAAAAAAATAATAACTGGATCACTTAATCCACGACTGTTTATGGGGCTCTGCTGTGCGCAAATTGGCTGCTGTTGCATTTCGCCCACAAAATATACAGTCCTTTCCCTTTACAGTATACTCCGTGAAGCGTTTTGAGACGCCTCGAAGAAGTGATAAGGCGCCGTGTCAAATGCAAGGAATATTATTATTGCTTTTATTAAGAGTGAATCTCCCTTTCTAGGTGAGTTGTGTAATTCCAGGAAATTGTGCAACCAATTTAAAGACAACGTGGCAGATGGTTGTGAACCTATGTGAGTTTTAAGTTTTTTTTAAAAAAAAGAAGTATTTTGCAAACAAAATAACGAACATCTCTAACTGATGAGCGAGAAAGAGAGAGAGAGAGAGAGAGAGAGAAAGTTGGACATGCACTTTGCAAATGTAGGACTTGTTTTTGTTTTATATAAAAAAACACACACGTGGAAAGCAAAGGTTTAAGAAGCGATCGGATAACTAAATAGTTGGATGGGTGGGGGGTAGGTTTGGGAGACAAGACAGGAATCTTATCCAAAGGAGGAGGAGGAGGAGGAGATAACAGTGAGACAGGTGACCCCAGGTAACCTTTCTTTGGTCACAGAGACTGATGGCAGAGAGAGAGGGAGAGAGAGAGAGAGAAAAAGAGAGAAAAAGAAAGAGAAGGAGAGGTAAAGGGTGAGGAGGCAGATTGGTTTAGGATGACTTACCGCCCAGGCATGAATGTCGAAGCCCCATGGCTCATTGTTCAGACTTGCGCTGAGACACTCTGAATGAAGAAGGTTCAGCTGATTCACTTTGGTAACTCAGGGCTGAGATCCCCAGTCGTGTGGTCCCAGTGACCATTCGCTTCACTCCACTCACTGACTGACTGTAGAGGAATTGTTTTGCCTGTGATCACGTCTGTTTTTTTTAATGAATATCTCCCCCCCACCCCCACCCCACACACCCCCCCACACACACACACATCCCACACACAAAAAAGAAGCAGCAGAAGCGAAGACGGTATCAGGGGGAAGATCCAAGTCAGATACAGTCAGTGTAAGTAATCCCCTGAGGAACACACACACCCACACACACACACACAACGTGGTGACAGGTTTACACAGTAAATTCCAGATCATTTTCTCTCTCTCTTTCTAGGTCTGTCTCTCTCTTTTGCATACAGAGAGAGAGAGGGAGAGAGGGAGCACAGCCTTCTGAACGAACTGGAAACACGAGCAAAAAAAAAAGGTTTAGAGACCAGAGAATTTAAAACATAAAAACCCCAGAGATGGTGTGTGATTTTCTCAGACAGACACACACACACAGACACACACACAGTCAGACACACACACACACAGACAGACAGACACACACACACACACACAGACAGACACACGCAGACACACACACACACAGACAGACACACAGACACCCACACACAGTTTGTCTAAAGTTTGTCTAATTCGGTGAATGGAAATTGAAAGAGACAACTGGACACTTCTAAGAAATGCGACTTGTGTATGTTTGTGGGACGTGAAGCTCAGACACACACATGTACATGTCACATGCAAACACACGCATGCATCTCTCACACACGCACACACACACACACACATGTCACATTAACTCCCAAACGCTACATCACAGAACACAGTACAGACACTCCACACTGACTGCTAACAGCTGTCTCAACCTCTGTCTACATCCTGAAGACACACAGGTATATACTGTATACACTGATATATCCCCCCCCCCCCCCCATGTGCCAGGATAGAGTTTTTTACGAATTAAACTCGAGATAAGAAAAACACATTTTATGTCAAATCAAGGACAAAAAGAGCGAAGAACTTGCTTTACCTTTAAAGAAAATCTTTCCCCTTCGAGGATCAATTCTGAAAGCAACTTATTTTGACGTTTCTTTCTCTGAATGACTTAGTTACTGCACGTGTTTTTACACGCCCTCTTGTGCAACACCATAAATAATATTCGTAATAGGATAAAGTAGATTTGTTTTGTATTCATTGGCAAATTCATTCAAAATATATCTCCTTGTGTCATTCTGTTCATGTAATAGCTCCGGTTCAAACGAAGATGACCTCAGACCTTGTGCAACAACTTGGATTTAATCACCCTGTACCCTCCCAGGGAGTTGTCCATTATTTCACAAAACCTGTATTGGTTATCAGTCAACTGGAAGTCTGCATATGTTGCCTGTTTCTACTTCTCCTGAACCTTCCTTTCCTGGAGGGGCTTCAAATGCAACTTGGTCTTAGTGTCCTCCCGACGTGAAGGGCGCTATACAAATGTGATGTAATGTTGTTGTTGTTGGTGTTCTCGAGGCTAAATGGAGTCCTGTAGCATAGTGGTTAGGGCGCTTGCCTCGCCTGCGAGAGGACCTGGGTTCCATTCCCGGTCAGGGAGAAACCTTAGGGCAAGTTTCCTTACTCTACATTAAAGGGATCAGTTATGAGGAATGACCAAGGTAGCAGTCCTTAGATATCGAGCAGGACAAGAGGGCACAGGTTCAGTATTGAGTAGGACAACTACCGGCTAGGCATCTTGGAAGTATTTTGTTATACAGAGTGCAATCAACAGCTGGAACACATTATCAGGAAGGATGGTTATAGCCATGTGATGAGGAGTGATGAGAAGACAGTCAGGCTGATATACTGGAAGAGTGAAATCAAATGGGGTTAAATGGCCTTCATCACCTGAACCTATCTTGTGTAAAGTGATGACAGCTGATGCTTTAAATGTCTTTTGATTCCGGATTGACCTGGAGGAGATGCAGCAATGCTGTGTGGAATATTTCAACAGAGGAACACAGACGGTTGATGGTCCTCAGTAGGAAACAGAGGTTCCAATATGCTGTCTCGCCAATTTCTAGCCCTGATACCAAACTCACCAAGGACCTAATAAGGAGTGATATACTTCAGAAGCGAATTCTACATCTCGGCTAATCTAAACAGATGTAACTCAAGTCAGCGTCGTAGCAAGTTTAAACAACAGAGCAGCGAGTTTACTATTGTAGGTAACGATCCATGCTAATGAGGTAATGTGAGGAGCGGAATCCGAAACATAGTCCTTTTTAACAAAGACATGAGATGGTTCAATAAAACATCAACAACAATTTATATTGCCACTTCACTTGGGTAGTATAATGCTGTATTGGTAAATATCCCATTTAGTAAAGTTAATGCATTGAGAGATCCCATGTTTGGTTTGCGGTCCGAGCCTGGTTGGCTGATCTCAGCTGCAGAGTTATACTGTCGTAAATTTTAGTGGCTAACCCTAATCTTGGGGATGGCAAAGATCAGCTTAGGTTCCAGCTCCGACGTGAAAGGCGCTATACAAATGTAATTTGTTGTTGTTGTTTAATATCTCCAGGTAAAACATCCGTGAGTATATGTGCACATCAGGCGCCCAACAACAACAACGACAAATTGCATTTGTATGGCGCCTTTCACCTCAGGAGGATGTCCCAAGACAGTCAAGAGTTGACATTTTTCATGGTTTTAATCACAGGATCATTGTCTGAAGGAGACTGCAGAAGTGGGGAAATTTTGTTTTCATTTGGATTAATTTAGATTTTCTGTTGGCTTTACAGAAGACGCCTGCAGAAATCTAACTTAAGACTGTTCTTAAGAATTGTTCTAAAATTTCGCAACTCATAAAGGACGCATTGTTTTGTGAGCAGAACCAAACATTGAACATCTTTTTCAAACCGGTGAGGTGTACACCACTCACAACAGTGGATCCATTCTGTAACTGTGTTACTAACAACAGTAGAAACACAAATACTCTGCAACAAGGAGTCAGCATGAGTGGAGTCAGGCTGTGCTTAATATATGACCTGCCTCAATTGTGTGATGGGTTCGTAAGGGGGAGTTGGCTTTCTATTCCTGTCCATTCACAGAACCCTTATTGGCCAAACACTTCCCACCCCAAAACAATTCTGTATAAAAAAAAGTGATGCGTATCTATTATTAAGAATTACAGTCTCTGTGTGTTATAAAGAATAATGCCCTCTATACAAATTCAAATGATAACAAGCTTCGTGTGTGATAAAGAATAATGCCCTCTACGTATTAGAAAGGATAACACGCTCTAGAATGTGTGCCAACAGCGAAATACATGGGTTGAATTGGTAATAAATCAAACCTCAGACTTGTTCCTTGCCTGGAACGCACTGCATGTTACTTTGTTTGGAATCATGCACCTCAGTAATTTTGACTCCTGGGGGCACATAGAGAAGCCGCTTTGAGGGTTTAATTCCCTTTGTAGCATTTTGGTTTGAAGTTCATATCTAGCATGCTTGTTGGATGGGCAGCCTGGCAGCGAAGAGACTGTACTGTACCCAATGTGCGGAGAGTCTGATCAGAGCTGCCAGCGATTGGCAGGAGCTGATAGAGGGCAAAAACAGGTATATCTCATCATGTGTGCATATCACTCTTCGTTGAGAATAGCACTAGAACAATGCTGGCTGCCCTCCCTCTTGGCCAGACTTGGCGCAGAACCTGGTGAGCCCAGAGTAACGAGTAAGGAGAGAAAAGTAAGCTTAAAAAGATAGAGGATCACTTACAACAACAACAACAACAACAACAAGAAGATTCCATTTATAAAGCTGCAGAGTTCTGGATGACCTGCAGTGTGGAGGGAGGTGGCGGGAAGGCCGGTGAGGAGAGAGTTCCCATAGTCCAGCCTTGAGGTGACAAAGGCGTGGACCAGGGTTTCAGCAGCGTGAGGGGTGAGGTAGTGCCGTAATCTGGCGATGTTCCGGAGGTGATGGAAGGCGGTGCCAGTTGTGGTGCGGATGTGAGGGAGAAAGGACAGCCCAGGGTCGAACAAAACGCCGAGGTTCCTGACTGGCTTTGAGAGGTGGAGAGTGCAGCCTTGGATGCTGATGGTGTCGGCGCCTTCACCAACAAAAAAAAATAGCTTTGAAAAAAGTGTTCACTCAAATAAAACAATGCGTTGATCTATGGCTTTGGGTGTCTGGAGTTAGCTTTGATTTTGAAGCCAGGGGTAATGTTGATGTGGAGACATTTGGAATGCATCAAGATTGTTACTGTTAAGTCCATTTCCGCACTTCACTTATAAGGAGCAGTTGGAAAAGGTTTGTCCTGTTGTATTGATGCTACGTATTTATTTAAAGTGTTACATCCGTGAGATAAATAGCATTGGTTATAGCACCAATAGCACTGGTCTATGCAAAAAAAGCTTTAACAAGGATTGTAAAGAAAGGTACAGAAATGGCCTGATCGTTTACTTTACAGGCTATATTGGATCGCAGTGTAACCCGTTTTACAACTTTCTTTTCCTCTGAAAATCAAGCTGGGTTGGAACATTTCTCTGTTCATTTATGCACAAGTATTAACATCAAGCGCTTGCAAGTCAGTTACAGTAAAGTCCTGATAATTCATCGCTCTGAGGAAAAGTGCTCAATGACAAGTTATCAGAAGTGGTGAGTTAGGTGTATGTACATAAATAAATGCGGCCAATGACTTACGTGGCAGTGACAAGTTAAAGTCAGGGTCGGGTTATCAGGAGTTTACTGTAAAAGCATTGGGTACGCTGAAAGTGCCTTAAACCCCAACTTCGACCGAGCGTTTGATCTAGGAGTAATTCACTTCCAAACATGTCATTCTTTCAGATATCTCATAAGAGCCAAACAGGAACTGGAGCAGGAACAGACACTGAGTGAATTTGGCTTCCTTTTTAGCTATTACAAACATTGTAAATTTAGACCAGTCTGTATAAACATTTTTGTGTGTGCGTGTGTCTCTCTCTCTCTTTATTCTTGTTTTTCTGATCGGAGCGCTCCCAGGTGTTGGCTGCGGGTTTTAAGACAAGGCAGTGAATTACCATGGCTACCCACGGCTTCCCTTCCTGCGTAGCAAATGTTTTCCATCAAGGAACTTATCTTCGCAGCACGCAGAATACAAAACGCACGAGAAGATTTTCTTTTCTTTTGTGAAAAAAAGGAACTTTTTTACTTTTTATGCACTTTCAGCTCTGTTTTGGGGATGATGTCAAAGGAGCTGGATCGCGAATCCTGCTGAAATCAACAGCAACAACAAATTGCATTTATATAGCACCTTTCATGTTGGGAGGATGTCCCAAGGCACTGGACAGTGAAGGGTTTGCACCCGAGATGGAGTCAGGAGGGGTAGATCGGTGATAATGGGGTTGGATTTCAGGATAGGGTCAGGGGATAGATGGGCTTGAGGGAACCATGGCTGTTTTATCTGTTGTGGCTGTTTGATTTCGTATTCGTGCGTTGAGGTCTATTACTATAAGGTTTTCAAATCAAATTCGTGGAAATAAATCCATGTGCCCTAATGCACATTTTGTATTTACAAGAAACTCAACCCCCCCCACCCAAAAAGAGAGAGATGAGAGCAAAGAATATTTCCTGTAGTCAAAAACTGGAAGCACAGATTGAAAGCACACGAGGAATTATAGGCAGTAAAATGTTTTATGTTGCACAGAAGTTGCAACAGACATGTAATAGGGCACCACCACAGGTCATCTTGTCCGTACTTTATAGGAAATTGCAAAGATCCATATCTCCTCCTTGTTTTCTGCAAGAGGCGGGCTGGAGCATTTAAAAAAGCACCGAGCACATTACGGTCACAATGCCTTGATTAATAAAAGGATACATACATTAAGGGGGAATCTTAAAGTGAATGTAACTAATGCACACATCCAGTGCCCAGTGTGACATATATGGTTATAACGGTTAGCCCGGAGATATAGTGGATATTCACCAGTATACTGTACCATGATATTTTTATGGAGATCTTCAAATCCTCCTAAGACATTCTCTTTACTCCGCGCAAGTCTTGCATGCAAAGAAATGAGTTTGTTGCACTTGCCTGTTGCTCCTCAAGCGGGGTATTCCTGGAACTGAACTGGCACCAAGGTCAATGTTGGAATCGAGCTAGCCCTCTGTGGCGGTCTCGGTAGTCCGGTTTCCGAGCCAGGCAGGTCCACAGTATTCCGGGGAACTGCTGATGAGTTTAGAAAAGTCACTGTTAAAACATCACTGTTACTGTTCTGTTAAAAAGGATCACAAGAGTCCTGTAGGCAACCAGCTGACAAGTGGTAAATGATTTGCTAAATCTTAGCAAAGTGGTGTCAAGTGGGTGCCAGCCACTGAAATGTCAACAGTTTACTGGATGGAATGGAAATGAAAGAAGCAAATAGGTTAACTTTTTGGACATGATCCTTAACTATGGGATCTTTAATATTTTGTGTGTTTGATTTGATGTGAAAGGACCCGGGATACTGCAGGCCAACAATCCTCCAGATAAACTGATCATTCACTTGGCTCTTTGTGGGACATTTTATGGGCGAATCGGCTGTCGTACTCATCCACAAAGGTACACTCAGTCACTGACTTTTACAGTGATTACCTGTGAGACATTTTGATGTTACAGGCACTATATTAAATGAAAGGATTATTATTTATATTGATATGAACTGGATGTCTGATTTCCAAAGTTGGCAGTGTTTTTTTTCTTTCCATTGTTAAGGGTTACTTCTTACAGATTGATATGGCTTTTGACTCCCGTGTCAGTATTTGGATGAAGAGCAGCAAGTTCTGCTGATATCCTGGCCAATATTTCTCCCCACCTCCAAATTCCTTCCATTGCTGTGTTTGGGATCTTGCTGGCAACAGTTCTCAGTGATTCATGACACTAACTTTTTTTTGATATAAACAGTTTTGTTACAGGAGGTCAAAGAAAGGTAATCACTTTTATTAGAAGTTATATGAGATTGAAGTCTAAGATGTCCTAAATATTTGGAAAACTTTGTTGCTCAGGAGATGTGTACGGTTTTTCCGTTGATACAATGGTTCCATTCCCCGCACCAGTGCTACTTTAATCATAATCATAATAATTCTTGCATTTGATATAGCGCCTTATCACTTGTTTGAGACGTCTCAAAGCGCTTCACAAACTATACCTTAAAGTAAATTGACGGCATGCTTTGTGGGTGAAACACGACAGCCAATTTCTCACAGCAGTGTCCCACAAACCGTCATGGATTGAGTAAGCAAATTATTATTATTTTTTGAAGGAATTTTTACCCCCGGAAAAGCGATCCGCCAATCGACTAACAACCAGGTTCTTACTTATTGCTAGGTAAACAGGCTTGTGGAGTAAGGAAACTTGCTTAATGTTTAGCCCTGCCCGGGGATCGAACCCAGGACCTCTCGCTTGCAAGGTGAATGCTCTGATCAGTACACTACAGGACTCCACTTTGTTCAGAGCTGGGAAACCCATCGTGATTTCTGGGATTAGGATGAGCAGGGTGCTTCCCTCCAGCGATTCAGTGCTTTCAGGCAAATGTAAACTTCTGCACAGATACAGGGGATTCTCAGTAGTGTGGTCTGGATACTCTTAAGCATGACACAAGAGTTCTGATATGTCAGACACTCTGGCTGCTCAAAACACTCCAATGAGAGGAAGCCTAAATATTAGCTGCAAGTCACAATTCTTGGTTAATAACACTTGCCAGAGACGTTGAATGTTTCTGCCTTCTCCTGACAAATATCTCGTTTTCTTCCTTTTTCCCCGAAGGTATTTCATTCTTTTTGTTCTTTTGCTGCAGTACAGTTCCAGCGACATTGAACATCTCTGAGTCCCCCATAAAGCTGACCGCTGTTCAATAATGAACCCATCATTTTGTCGCGCAGAATTATCTGTTTCACTCAGAATACTGTACAAACTTGCCAACATTTTCATCAGTTTTTTTTTAAGAGAGGTTTTATTACAAGTGTTAAAAATGACAACATATTAACACATTACAAACAAGCCCCACACCCTGACTGTTATTAGACCCGAGCAATGGGCATGTGCAACCAGTGACCTCTTAAAAACGTTAAGTCACGACCTCTGTCTTTTGAAAGATGCAGGTTAGAACAGTGGCTGTTCCCTGAAGTTTCACAAAAAATATTTATTGATAGCAATTTAGAAATATTTAGTGTTGTATTTTTCACTTTTGTGCTTTCTCCCCTCCCCACATCCAACTCACAACCACCAACTATGTCCCTCCTCGCTGCCACCACCAATCTATCTTGCTGGACTGGAAAGCATTATAGTGCAACATAGTCCAATATACTGTACTGCCACTTGGTAACCTACATGAAAGTGCCTGGGGATTGAATCAGGAGGGGACAGGCAGGATTCAGTAAAAGGCTAAGTCCCAAGGCAAGCCATTGCCAGAGATTTGGATTCGGATTCAGGGCAGTGAGTAATCTTACACATGTAGTCATTTTTTTTCTGTGTACAATATCTTGTTCAGTGTAATAAGTTTAGTCCAATGTTGTGGTTAATCTTATGGGGGGAGGGGGATAGCAAAACCTTTTCTAAATCATGCACGAAATTGTTTGAGGTACTGTTTGACCTGCCACTTTATACCAGATTTAAACAGAAATTCTCCCTTTAAAAAGCTGGTGCCAAATGGCACACAGCAGCACTATTAGCTCCTTTCCTTACTGTTACTCATAAATAAATGTAGGACTAATAAATGGAATTTATGTTTAAGGGTGGGTGAAGAGCAAGGCAAAGAATGGAATATATGACTTTTTGCATCCGAGTATGGGATGGCTTAGATTCAGATTAAAGTGAACACACAATTCTCCGAGAATTGGGGAGAAACTGCAACAGGATCTCGATTTACTCTTATTTATGTTACAGTAGCATTTTCAAGCATCCACACTTGGGAAAATTGTTGAATTGACTTTGAAGCTGCTTTTGTGTAGTTCTTAAAAGAAACTTACAGAAAACAGGCCTCAAAGTTAAGGCTGTATTCCAGAAATTTGGCAAATTTGGTTACTCTGAAATGTTACATATATAGAGCAAATTTAGACCCAGGTGGAATTTCTTCCCAATGTGCCTTCAGAGAACAGTCCTTTTACATTCCACATCCTATTGACCTGACATTGTTGGCTAGATTAGATGCAATTAGGAGCGATGTCTAAAAGCCTCTTGTATTGTGCAGATTTAATGTTCTTGCCCAATAATCAAATTGTGTGTGGACGATGCCAGGTCAAATTACCCATTATATAATTTGGGTGGTCAATTTATTTTTAACTTAAGTTGGATATATTAGAAGACGCTCACCCAAGCGATTTTTAGTATCCATCAAATATCTAATCACTAGAAAAACTTTTATATTTTCTCCCATCAAATATCTGGTCCTAGGTGAGATAGTTGTCTTGAAAAAGAGCAAAACGGGTTGTGTGGAGCGGGGCATGCACTGTTTTGTTAATTGTGGTACACAGGTTCACACTCACTCACAGAGGTTGTTCAACCACTTAACTACAGTGTTATAATCTGATGGGAAAAAAGCCTCAAGTACAAGTACATCACTCGGGGGTGGGGTGGGGGGTTGGGAGGAGAAACCAAGACTCCGCCATGTGCCAGTTGAGTGGGGGCCTCAGAACAAACCAGTTACTGTCCTCTTGCCTGGGGCAGCAGGGGCATTACAAGGAGATATGACGGGCTTAACCCATTTCAGTAGAGTTTAATACCTCATCACATTTTTAATTTAGCACTGAGTATCAATGCCAACCACATGTTTTAATTCAAGTGCATGTTTGCATTCTGCTCAGTTTCCAGCTGATGATACACAAAGTTAAGGAGCACTTTTTTTTTAACCCTTTAAAACGATGGCTCCACTGCCACTGTAATGACCCGTGAGTACATTCCTGATCCCCATTTCTGACACTTTATCTGTCTCGCATTTCTGCGTTCCCCATGCAATTATCATGCAACCATCCCATCATTTCATTTAACAGGCTTTTCTTTTGGCTGCAAGATCGCTATTGCCCATTTTTCTAAGAGGAATATGCTCCTAGTCAGTTTTCCATTGTAAAACATTATTGTTAGTACTATTTCACAAGTGTCAAGCCTCACCACTCTGAATTTCTTTAAGGTTGCTAATTTCTTCAGGTAAAGGTTCAAGGCTCAGTTTAAGGAACTAATGAGGTACACAAATAATAAAAACCTACACAAATAATAAACTTTTGAGAAATGCAAGTACGTAGTAGAAATTCAGCAGAAAAATTCGAGAACAGTTTTGTGTTTTTTTTTCGCAATCCTGTAATTTGAGCAATAATCCACTGTTTTACACACTTCTCCATTTGACTGCATGACATTTATCATTAGAATTACAGAGATTCCAAAGGTGGGCGAATGGTCCTTATTTTGAAAGCTGCAATCTCAGCTCTTGGATGGCAGGTAATAAATTCAAGGTATCAACTGTGTTCTGGCATTTTCCCTTGCAGGCTGACGTGACCCTGAACGAATGCTTCTTAATAGAAGGTATTCAAAACAATTTCATACCAAAAAGGTTTGTTCAATGAAGCTTTACGGGCAAAAAAAAGGTTCAGTTAACCATTTGCTCTTTGTTCAAACTACACTCAAGACACTTAATTCTGTAGAGGAGCAAGCAGGCACACAGGCTAGCTGATGGAATAAATAGCTTGCATGAGAAATCTCTTGACTGATATAAAAATGACTCTCTTGTTCCTGGGATGGATCTTTTTCAGTATTTAATTTGAAACTAAAAATCAATCACCTGTATATACATATTTCATCGCAATCTCTATTTGATTTGTTACATTTTCGTTCGATAAATCACACCACCACCACCAAGAACTATGTTCATTTACAGCTATCTGCAAACTATTAGGGCACATGGATTTATTTCCGCTAATTTGATTGGAAAATCTTACAGTAACAGACCTAAACACATGAATACAAAATCAAACAAAAGTGAAAGATTATTATAGATATTGGAGAGGCTCCAGTTCTAATATTAATTTGACCACTAATATTCTCTCTATTGGTCATCCTCTGGTTACCTCTCCTGGGTGGCCTTCACACCTGTGAATCTTTACAACGAATGCCACAAGTCTATTAAACTGTGCGTAAGGGGTGTCACAGCTGAGCCCTGTAACCCATCTTAATCCAATGGCTGTACATCTGCACCTCCAGCAAGGTTCAGTGGATAGTCACAGGGAGGGAGCATGAATTCTGGCTGGTTTTAACCATTCTTCACTTGGAGCGCTTAGACCAACCATGACACCCAACCCCAGAGCTACTATAACTGAGTCCAGCCAACTCACAGCAGATAAGGAACTACAACACCACTCAATGAACAAACTTTTGGAGCCATCCGAGGAGCCTGGGTTAAGAGACTGTTATATGCACATCTTTTAATAATTTGTACACTAACAATCCAAAAAGGTGTCATCACAAATTCGATTTATAAGCTCTTGGCTTAGCGTGGTATTAAATGACATGTATCAAGGCTTCTGTTGGGTCCGTATCAAACGTTTCGTGCTAAACGCAAATTGAAGTCAACTGTTTTAGCAAAGGGAGAAAACGAAACACAGCTGTGTAACAGCACTTGGAAGAAATACATCAACTCAAGATTTAAACAAATGTCCAACAAATGGTATTGCTTTTTGAGATACAATTTTTTTTAAAAAAGGGGATTAATTGTTATTGATCTTATCGTATCACACACACAGGATTTGAATGACTCTTTTAAATAAAGTAAATTATCAAATAAAAATGAACTATGATCATAAAAGACTGGTCGTTAGCTAATGGTCAACAACTCGGTTATTGTAAGTTTGATTCGATACGTGCAGTTAATCAGATTCATACCACAATTGGGGGCCAAGAATATTTGGATCGTGACCGTAACATGTTTTTTTCTTAATAATTTTCACGGTGAAAATCAACCTCAACAATTAACAATTGGGTCGAGATCAATTGATCCATGGCTTAATATCAGGCTCGAAACAATTCGCTTTCTTTCAGAACATTGGATCTTGGCACGCGGACACTGGTGCGTGAGAGTAACAATTCCGCCCGTTTGATTTTTACCGCTTAAGACTTCACATTCATAAAGGGATGCTCATTACAGCCGTACGCGATCCGTGGCTCCCATCTATTGAAAAATGCCTTGAAATGCTTTTGTAGGAAGGAAGAGGTTTCAGCAGAGGTGGAGAACAGCTTTGTTGATCTCTGGGTTTGTCCAGTCATTCCGCAGATCATCCAGATGGTTATCAAAATCCACTAAAGAGTCGTAGGATTTGCTTTCTAGCAGACAGGCTGCGATTCGCTGCACCTCTGACCAGTCTTCACAGAAATCGCTACAAAAATGAAAAGCACACACGTTGCATTCAGATCCATCTCAAGCTTCCTGCATTTTTTAACCTCAAACCGACCTTTTTGGTTGGCCAACAAAATAATCATAGAAAGAACAAATTAGCAAAGATTTACCCCATAAATCAAGAAATATTCAATCAACATTTATTTTGCTGGCCCACCAAAAAGCCGTGGCATTTCGCCCACAAAATACAGTCAATCCACTTTACAGTATATTCTGTGAAGCGTTTTGAGATGTCTCAATGACGTGATGAGGCGCTATATCAAATGCAAGGATTATTATTATTATTTATATTAAAATCAAACCACAGTACACCTCACCCTTTAAGCAGAGTGTATTCCACTAAACATTATCTAGTGAGTGGTCTTTCCTGCTAAATGTGTACAAACTGTGGAAGCCAGTTCTACTTTCCCCTGCACTGAATAAACGTTGAGGGAAAGTGTATACAGTACTCACGTATTTGGGTCTGTGCAGCGCCATTTGTTGTCATGGTGCTCATATACTATGATTGACTGTTCGTTACACTCCATGGTAAATTTATGATTATCCACCTAAAATATAGATGCACAGTCAGAGATGAACAATACATTATTTCCTCTTACCCATTTCCAGCAAGCGGTTTACACAGCTTACTATCAAAGTCCTGGCAGTGAGTAAAGCATTTACCTTCTTGGGCAAAGAGAGGTACAATGGGTGCGAAGACCCAAAACAGGAAGGGCTAAATCAACAAATGAATATATATGTATAAAAGCAAGAACAAGAAGCTGTTGACAACTCCAGGTTTCTGCGTTGGCATTGAAAAATATATTCGATATACGCAACTCTAATTGGCTTGGCTCCCCATCAGAATCAGATACCCACGGTTATTTGAATTCAATGTCAAGGGAGATCCTCTGCCCTGTTTGTTAACTATTTTTACGGTCAATCCACTTTACAGTATATTCTGTGAAACGCTTTGAGACGTCTGAAGGACTTAATAAGGCGCTATATAAAATGAAAGGATTATTATTGTTAGTATTAACTGCAGCAAAGTTTTTGATATGCACTTGGAATAGGAATTTCTAGTGCAAGTGGCTCTATAAGATGAGTCCATGGAAAGACCCAAAGGTTTTTAAACTTAGTCTGAAGTCTAAAAGAGCAATGGAAACTTGCTGTGGTGTAACAGGATTTACACAGCTACTGATTGTGTCGATTCCCCCCTGACACCATCTGCTGGCGCAGGTTTGGGAAAGCGGAGTTTCACTATACATTTAGCTCTGAATAGCTCAAGTAACACTGAACTGTCACTCAAAATGGAGTATAAATAGACCGGGAGAGTTATCGGGCTTCCCAGCCTATTTTGAAGCTTCTTGTGCTCCTGACAGTAACAGGGGTCAGTTTCAGCAAAATCATACCATGATTAGCGCAGCATCACTGAAGGACTCTGCAATCCGAGAAGCCACCTTTTCAGCAACCTGATTTGGGCTGAGGAAAGAGGGGGATAAAATTCAACAATAAATGCTCCTGAAGCAAACGTGATCAGCACATCATCAGTCACTGTCTGTATCTTTTCTTACGTTCATCAAAGAATTTCAGGATAGGCGATTGCCACACTTGACCTCCAATCTGCCACTTTATGTTTATGTCAGTACTGAACTAAAACACTCCGGGGGACTGTGGGTTGCATAACTTTTGAACCATTGTAATAATTTTCCAGCTACACCTGCAAGATGGCCCCAAGTGACACATGAATCCGACACCAACAACACTCAAATGAACAAGAGGATACAGGAAGGTCCAATTTACAAGAGTATTTACCGCTCCATGATGGAGGGGCAGCAACACTAACCCTGCACTACCGTGTTGCCACTGACGCAGGGTGATACATGTTTCAAGAAATTATCCCAAACCCTTCTGGCTAGATAGATCACTTGCAGAGTTAATATAAACCATAACAGTTAATGAATCTTCGGCGAGCAGTATTTGAACCAAAACTCAAGGGCACGTGAGGACAATATTAAGGTCATTCTGCGAGCAATTAAATTAAACCTCTTTTCTCTTTGATGAGGGGTGTTGCGTTCATGAACACATTGTGCTGTGAGACGCTACGAAAAACAAGTTTGCGCTCTTCATCTTTCTACTCTCTCGCTCTCTCTCACTCTCGCTCGCTCTAATTCCTGATTTCAGATGCACCACCAGAGCAGGCACAAGGAACACCGGAAAACAAGTCGCTTCAGACTGCTGCGACACAATGCGAGGCAGGGATTCCAGGACTAGCATTCGGAAGAGCGCTTGTTGCTTCCCCTCTCACTCGGCGTGCGGTGTGGCGGGATATTTTCTCTTCCAACCCTTTGGTTTAAAATAACCCACAACAAAGTATTCACACCTGGTGTCCTTCAGACGCTCGTTTGCCTGGTAGTATCCAGCTATTACGTAGCTATTTTCTTTGCACCACGAATCGACCTGAAAGGACGGGAGAGGAAAGCAACGGGAAAGAAACCGCGATGAATGAAACGCGCGGATCATCCGCGCGGCCGTTCGTAACAATCGCGTTCAATACTACGGCGTTTGTTCGGGACGTCGAAACGTTGCAAAGGGTTTCGCGAGGGATCGGCGCCGAGTGTTGTGAATGGGGGGGGGGGGGGTGACGGGCGGGGGCGGGGGGTGGGGGGAGGGGGAGAGAAAGGTAAGTGTCAGTCAAACGAGTGTCAGGAATTATTATCAGGGAATGTGTGTGGGGGGGGGGGGGGAGTGGAAGGGAAGGAGAAAACTGTCGGTGGTGGGGGGTGGGGGGAGAGGGAGGGAGGGGGGGTGGGGGGAGAGGGAAGGAGGGGGGTGGGGGGAGAGGGAGGGAGGGGGGTGGGGGGAGAGGGAAGGAGGGGGGGTGGGGGAGAGGGAAGGAGGGGGGGTGGGGGGAGAGAAGGGGGTGGGGGGAGAGAAGGGGGGTGGGGGGAGAGAAGGGGGTGGGTGGGGGGGAGAGGGAGGGAGGGGGGTGGGAGGAGAGGGAGGGAGGGGGGTGGGGAGAGAGGGAGGGAGGGGGGTGGGGGGAGAGAAGGGGGTGGAGGGAGGGTGGGGGGAGAGGGGGTGGGAGGAAATGATCAGGTGGGAAATGGGGTGGGGGGGAATTATCAGGGAATGAGCGGGGGTGGTGGGGGGGGGGTGGGGGGGAGAGTCACAGGCCAGCAAAGCCCCCTCTCCCCCCCCCCCCACCACCCCCCCCGTGTCTCACCAGAGTCAGGGCCACCTCCAGCATGGGCGCCAGGGCCAAGGTGCCGTGGAAGAGGGGCACACAGTCCACACACAGCACGGCCCGGCCCGGCCCGGGGGCCTGACCCTGGCCCTGGCCCTGGCCATGGCTCTGCGCCTCTTTCCTCTTGAGCTTCTCCGCCACCAGGACGCCGTTGACGGCGCACTGCGGGTACTTGGCGGCGTGGAGCAGCATCTTGCAGTAGGCCTGGGTGGTCAGCCTGAAGTCGGGCATCGCTGGGGCCGCCTTCCCCCCCCACCACCACCCGCACACCTCGAAATCACAGGCCGAGGCTCATTCCAGGGCCCTCTCTCTCTCTATCTCTCTCTCTCTCACTCTCTCTCACACTCCCTCCCTCTCTCCCTCCGGCGGGTCGCTCGAGGAGGCCGTTCCCTTCCCTCCTCGAAGAAGAAGAAGAAGAAGAAAGAAAAAATCCGCCCCGAGGCTTCGCTCCGGTGCCCCGGGCCTCGCTGCCGTAAAGCGAGTGCCGTAAAGAAGAAACACACCACAGCGGCGGCGGCGACGACGACGACCACGACGCTTGTTTCACCCTCAACCGCTCCCCCTGGAAAGCCACGCGGGCGGGCGGGTGGGCGGAAAAGCAGGCGGGCGGGAGGGCTCCTCCTCCTCCTTCTTCTTCTCCTCCTCCTCCTCCTCCACCCAACTTTTAGGGTTGGTCAGCAATTAAAATATGTTTGGTAGCTACACCCCCACATATACACACACCTCTCCCTCCCCCCCCCCCACACACCACCCCTCAAGTCAATTAAATAGTAACCCAAAAGTAATGATGATGATGATGATGATGATAATAATCCTTGCAATTGGTAAAGCGCCCCCTTTTTTTTTTACACACACACGTCGCCGAGACGGCTCACGAGCGCTGCGCGGGATGTACCGTCGAGCGGAGCCGCTCGCGTGGTGGTGGTCTTTTTTTCTTGCGGGGGGGCGGCGAGACGCGGCAGCCAGGTTTGCGCCCGGCAGCGTCCACCCCCCCCCCCCCCGAGCGAATCATGGAGCGAGTCATCCGTTTTATTTGGGGGATTGTTGCCCCCGACGCCGAGGGAGTGTTTTCGCAGATTAAAATTAAAAATGTAATAATTGATTTTTTGCCCAAAGGTGTTTTTTTTCCACACATGGTCCAACAAAAACATACTATAATTACTACTTTGTGGAATATTGTAACGTAATATTAAGCCGCATTGCATAACGCTTTTTTTATTGCAGATATTCAATTATATACAAGTACTGTATTACAATAACAAAATAATAATTCCTGCATTTGTTACAGCACCTTTGATGCTGAGAGGATGCCACAAAGCATTTCACAGGACTTGTTGTAAAGTGTAGCCACTGGATATTTTGGAGGTGACCGTAGACTCTGTTGAAGAGTTAGGATTTAAGGTGGGATTAAAAATAGATACAAGAGAGGGGAGAGGGAGATGGATAGAGTTCATTTTTAAATGGTATTTAAAAGGTAAACCCACATTAATGTTTTGGGATGTATCATGACAGTAGATACATGTCATAGAAGACATAGGTTTAGAGTTGTAAAGAGCAATTTACAGGACAGACACCAGGAAGTTTTTCTTAACACAGAGGGTCATCAATGACTGGAACAGGGTTGCCGAGAAAGGTGGTTGAGGCCAAGACACTGGGACTCAATTAAAAGAAGCTATTTGATACAGTGTGTTTTGGAGGGTGAGATTGGATGGGCCAAAAAGGGCCTTCTCCATCCAGATCAATGTGATAGAATCAGTGGACATCACAAACACACTGTCAGTGTAGTTACTGTGTCTCCAGTGCTACAATATGTCTCCAGACAGGAAGTAAGTGGATACAACGTATCTGTAAAATATATGGCACCCACTCAGTGGAAAGGGTATGTCCAACCAGTTAATGGATACAATGTATCTAATTGATGAGCGGATACAGTGTATATGAGTGGATAACCAGTCACTCAGATACAATGTGTCTACAGTCAGTTGGTGAACACATTGTATTTATAATAATAACAATCCTCGCATTTGATATAGCGCTTTTCACGTCTTCTCGACGTCCCAAAGCGCTTCACCGAATATACTGTAAAGTGAATTGACTGTATATCTGTGGGCGAACGCGGCAGCCAATTGCGCACAGCAATGTCCCACAAACAGTCGTAGATTGAAAATGACCAATTTATTATTGTTTTTGGGGTTTTGGAGGGATTATTATTAGGCTCTGTGTGGAGTAAGGAAACTTGTCCGAGGTTTCGCCCTCTGCCTGGAATTGAACTCAGGTCTCTCGCTTGCAAAGCGAGTGCTCTAACCACTGAGTAGCTCAGTGATTAGAGCACTCGCCTCGCAAGCGAGAGGACCCGGGTTAGATTCCCGGACAGGGCAGTGAGCCTTCAGTAAGTTTCCTTACTCCACACTCACACACAAGCCTTCGTTTACCGAGCAGTAAGAAGGAACCTGCTTGTTAACCGATTGGCGGATCGCTTTCCCAGAGTAATAATAATGCCACTCCCCCAGAAAAATAATAGTACCAAATAATAATAATGTGGTCACTCAAATCACGGCTGTGTGTGGGGAAGTCACTGCTGCGCGCAGTTGGCTGTCGCATTTCGCCCACAAAACAACAGCGACAACAACTCGCACTTATATAGCGCCCTCCCCCCCGGGATTAGTATTAGTATTACCATTAGTATTATCATTACTAATATTGTTATTACTACTAGCAGCGTTATTACTAATATTATTACTACCACTAGTATCATCATCACAAATATTATTATTACTATTAGTATCACTAACGTTATTATTACTAACAGCGTTATCACTGTAATATAATAATAATATTACTGTAATATAACAATAATATAATATATCAATATAATAATAATACAATATAATAATAATATAATAATAATATAATAATAATATAATATAATAATATATATAATATATAATAATAATAATAATAATTATTATAATATTATAATAATAGTATTATTATTACTATTATTACTACTGCCGGTGATCACTGACTGACGGACAGTTCTGGTGACTCCATATAAGGAGCTGAGGGCGGGGCCGTTACCCACAGTGCTTTGGGGCCGCACTTCCGGCCGCTCTCTTCCGTGTCCGCTTTACCGCCGCCGCCGCCTCCGCGCCGACTGCCTCCCCCCCTCCCCCCCCCGACCTCGGCCCCGGAACCGCCGCCGCCCCGACAGCGAGTAAGTGTCCGTGTCCCCCCCCCCCCCCCCGGGAGGCCTGAGCTCAGCCCACAGCCGCCGGTACCGAGCCCTCTCCCCTCCCCCACCCACCCCGGGGTGACATTGAGCGCGGAGGCGGCCCTGAGCCGACCAGGCCCCGGGCGTCGCGGCCTTTCTCCGGTCGGTCGCGGTCTGACTCACTGCTCCCGCTCCGGCCTCTTACCCCCCCTCCTCCCGCCACCGCTCCCGCTCCCGCCGCTCCCCGGGCTGGCGGGGGGTAGGGGGGGGGGAGCCAAGGCCCGGGTCTGAGGGGCCCGAGGCCGCACCGGCTGACCTTGGGAAGGGAAGGCGAAGCGGGTCCCTGACTCGATCCCTCCCTCCTCCTCACACACACACACTCACACACACTCACACACCCCGGCACCGGGCCGCACCCCGGGCGGTGAGGCAGAGGCACCGCCAAGTTTAACGGGAAGGTTGTTGGTGTCAGCCTGACCCTCAGGGTTTAATCACTTCAATGGCGGCCTCTCCCTCCCTCCCTCTCTCTCTCTCCTCTCTCCCCCTCTCTCTCTCTCCCTCCTCTCTCTCTCTCTCTCTCTCCCTCCCTCTCTCTCTCTCTCCCTCTCTCCTCTCTCCCTCTCTCCTCTCTCCTCCCTCCCTCCCTCTGTCTCCTTCGTTCACTCTCACTTTGTCACTCTCGCGCACTCACTCACTCACTCACTCACTCAGCCATCTCTGAGGGCCGTGCAGCCGAAGCTACTTTCGCCCACAAAGTACGCAGTCAGTTCGCTTTACAGTATATTCCGCGAAGGGCTTCGAGACGTCCGGAAGACGCGATGAGGCGCTCTATCCAATGCGAGGATTATTAGTCATGGTTGACTGTGAAAAGAAAGCGCTCGTGTTAATTTAAAAATGCACCTCCTGGAGCGGCGGCGGCGGCGGCGGAATCCTATGTTTTGCAGAAATTGAAACTACAACCGAAGCTTGCCCTCGCGGAGTCTTCCAATAAACGTGGCTGTCAGATGTAGGGTAGAAAAAGACAGGACTGCTGGCATGGATATTGATCGGTGTTTATCTTTGGGTTCCTTCGAGCGTGTGATGAACATTGTGCATTGATTTTAATGAACCAAGTTTTTCATTGCATTCTCCCGCAGTAGCGCACATTGATTTAAATAGGGAAGAAAATGGTGGAATACATTGCTGTGTGTAGGAGGTGGGGTTTGAATGCTTCAGATATCGTATGTTGCCTGGAGTGGGGTGCAGTTTTACAGTTTTCTGTTCCTCACAGTTTGACCTTGTTCATTGCTGTCTGGCCCGGCTAAATTAGGAGGAGTGAGTGAGTGACTGCTGGTTTAACATTGTCTGTTGGAAAGAAAGAGACTGTGGGCTACGTGACCTTTTTCTCGGTCAGTGCGTATGTTCAGACACGGAGACTGTATGTACCTGAATACGATTTCACTGAGGAGTGCTTTTATGTTTGGAAGCATTGAGTGTGTGATGTGTTGTGATTACTCCCTGGTACAGATCTATAGGTTCAGTGTAGGTTGCACTTTGTTGCAAGGTAGTATGATCCTTGAGGTTTTGGTTGCTATAAACAGTACCAGGGATTTTTAATTATCAAGGTTGTATGAATACTGATGTGGGGAGACTTCCCCACTGTTCATATAGAAGGGTTGTTGTGTGCTTTGTGCAAGTGGATATAATAGTATTGGAACGTTTGAAGATGCTGACTGGAATTGGAGCACCAAAGAAGCTTAGAATGTAATAGTTTATTGTGAAAGCCAACAAAATCTACTTTTAACTTTACTAGTTGTTCATCTGCAAATTTGAATTTGATAACCTCCACGTATTTGGAAATTTGGCCTTATTCTAATTCTGCGCCATCTGTGCTTTGGGGCGTCTTCATGACGTGAAAGGCGCTATACAAATACAATCTGTTGCAACCCGCGAAAAGTATTGGGTTTCAGAATTATTTTGCATCCTCATTTTATAAATATTTCTAGCTTTGCTTATGGACTGACTGACTGACTAATTGACAAACCTCTTTCCTCGTTGCAGAATGTTGGCTTCAAGGGCTCTGGGGTTTGTTACCAAACGTGCACTTTCTACTTCGGTTTGCTTGCAAGGACATGGTGAGTTTGGTGGGGCGAGATGTAGTGAATTATTTTTCCGCTTCCAATTTCGGCACAGGCACGATAGACAAAATAGGCTTCTTCTGTTCTAAGAGATTCTTTGTCATCATTCTGATAGTGCCGGCCAGCATATTCTTTCGACTGTGTGTTTTGACATTTTTTGGTATTTGCTTTTATTCCATGTATCCGAATATTATATATTAATATTACTATTTAGTATTATGTTCTATGTTTATAATAACACAATTTATAATAACCATTTATGAGCGATGAGGCTTTAGTATAGAAGAAACCTTTAAGCCACACACCCAGTTTTGGTGACTAGGGATAGCACTAACATTCAGAGATATGAAAAATGTCTACTTGCCCCAACTCAGTGCAGTCCTTGTCGCCATCCTTGAGGATTTCATGTAAGTTGTACCAAAATGACGGTTATCTTGACGGTTTCGATGAATTTTTTTTATCTAACTTGCTTTTGAAAGTCAAAACCATCATTTAAATTTGCCCACAGCTTGTCAGTTCTTTGATGTGCTACACTGGGGAGGTGCCGTGCGCACAGTTGTGTTACCTGTGCCTCGAGTGATTTTATTCATCACCCTGGTCTGTCTGTACGATGGAGGGAGAAGACAGCAAGTTCCCACCTGCACACTTCAGGCTCAAGTTCATCAGTGGCACTATGCCATGTGCTGGTGGTTTTATTCATTGTGGAGATACTGTTTCCTCTAATATTGGCATGCTGTGCATAAACCCGAAACATGCACTAACATTGGCCAAATTTGTAGATGTTAATTAGCTGAATACGATTTCCATTCAGATGATCGGCACAGTGTACGCCCCGTGTTGAAAGATTGATGTTTCAGGTTTATTTATTATGTTTACATGTGCTGAGAAGCAGAGAGCGCACAGGGTTATGAATGTGTAGCTGGCTTCAGTGGTTGATCTATTGTATTCTGATATGAGCCATCCCTTTGTCTTTTGTTTCAGCTGGAGTTGCAAAGCTCGACGATTATTCACTTCCAAAGTACTTGGATCGCAAAGATGATCCTCTCCCAGAAATTGACTATGTGAAAAATTTGGATGCAAACCAGAAGTCTCTTAAGGAGAAAGAGAAAGGTTCTTGGGCTACCCTTAGCCATGAGGAGAAAGTGGACTGTAAGTAGACTAATTAATGCTCTTTAATTGGCATTCTTTTGTATTGATTTGAGTTTGAATTGCACTTGATAATATTGAGCAACAGAGATCTTAACTAAAACAGTACTGTGAGCAACTATACCAAATATGGGACGTCCTCCTGACATGAATGGCCCTACGTAAATGCAATTTGTTTGCTGCCAGTTAAGATTCAGATTGATGATGGAAAAGAGCTGGTAGGGTAATCAACTCTTTTTAGTTTTTATAAGTTATTTGTAGACTTTCAGTGCTTTTCATCTAGAACATCTCAAAGTACTTGATATGGACTGTTGGGGGCAATGAGGAAAGAGGGTGATACGGAGAAGGTGATCAAAGGCATCATCAAGAGAGNTTTTTTTTAAGTAGATGTGGGAGAGAGGGTGACTGGTGAAACAATTTTTGGAGGTGAGTGGCTGAAAGCTTGCTGATGGTGGTGGTGAGTTGGAGAGACTGAGATGTGCCACAGGCTTGAGTTTGCATAGGCGAGTGGCGTTGGAGGGAGATGTGGAGAGGGGAGGATTTTGAAGGATTTGAAAGTCAGTACGAGCATTGAACAAATGCCAAGGTTGCCCATTGTCTCAGTGATCTGCTAGAAGGGAACTGAAAAGGGATTATTAATAATATCAATAATAAAACCTTGCATTTGATACAGTGTCTTTCTTGTCTGAAGGATATGTCAAAGTGCTTCACAGGACTTATTGTAAAGTACAGTGATTGTCCATTTTGTAGGCGAACATGGCAGCCTATTTCTGCAGTAAAGTCCCGCAAACAACCATGAAATGAACGACCAATTCTATTTGTGGGATCTTTGGCCAGGACACAGGGAAAAAGTGGACCACTTTGAGGTGGTTTTATATGTGAATTTTTTTTGAATAGAAATAAACGTTTTATTGTTCTTTCATCAAGTGTACAACATCCGCTTCCATCTGACCTTTGCTGAAATGAACAAATCTTCGAGCGAATGGAAGACTGTTGTTGGCGGGATCCTGACCATGATGGGCCTTACTGGACTTGTTGTCTGGTGGCAGAGAATATTCGGTGAGTGAAGAAAAGAGATGTTTATGTGAAAATGAGTCCTATTTCAATAGGTTTGTCTCTACTTAACTGAGCAAATGAGGTCAGAGTGTTTTTTTTTTGTTTTTTTTTCGTCAGCCGGGTGTCTGACACATGCGGAAACCCATCACCGGGCTTAAGAGTATCCAAACCAAACTGAGAACTCCAGGATCCCACCTACACATGGAAATTCCAGAGATAGCTTGTCAAAATGGAATGAGAACTCTCTCCCTAGAGGGATACATCCCGCTCACCTAATTCCAGATAATATTAGTTGCGGGTTGGCAAGAGCCAAGGCTTGGGGGGACCCCCAAGAGCGTGTTGAGTTTGACACGAGAAATTGTGCCTGAATGGAATAAATTGGTTTGAAAAGAAGGACATTATTTCAGCACGTGGCTTTGTTTTCTCATGCTCACCATCGCAAAGGTCTGGGATTGGGGAGGAAGGGGGGGGGGCGGGTTTGTGCTTATTGTGGTCTGAAATTAGTGCCACAGGAGTTTATTAAAAATCCTGATCAGTCCGAATACGAGCGTACTTCAGAAATCAAGTTGCATTTGGCTTTGTCGTCGAGGCTGAGTGCTGATTGCTTTGGCAGGTTAAAGATCAGTGATGGTTGTTACCTGGAGATCCAAAACTATAATTTCTCCATTTCTTCTTTATTAACTCAGTAGCTCCATAGTCTTGAAAGTATTTTGACCAAAGTGTGTTCAGAAACAACAGAATATTAACAGTAAAGGGCCGTAGAAATTTGCATTAGTGTATATAGTCCATATATTGGAATTGACTTGAAGTCTGTTTGCTCACTGCTCAGAAATGATTGACAATTAACTCCCATTGGTATCTGGTTGATGTGGATGACACTGAACTCTTTCTTTCCCACAGTTTACGGAGAAGTCCCTCACACCTTCTCTGACGAATGGATAGCAAAGCAAACCAAGCGGATGCTGGACATGAGGGTTAACCCCATCACAGGTTTTGCTTCTCATTGGGACTATGAGAAGAACGAGTGGAAGAAATGAAGAAATTCTAGGATTCGTCGGAGTACTTACTCAAGTTACCACTTTCAAATGGAAGCATTTACCTGTTGAAACAATTAATTTACTGTCGGGGGTTATCTGTAAATTTAATAAACTCCTCTGGTTTACATGACTTTGGGTATGAGTTGTATTTTTTACGATTATTTTTCCCCATCCTCTGGATCTCCATCCCACATTCCCTTTGCCCTCGCTCCCTCCCTTGCCTTTGTCAAGGCATGTTTCAAGACCCTTCCCTTCGACCGTGCCTTCGGCTGCCCTCTACCCTTCCTGATTCCAACCCCACTCTCTGCTCAGGTCCGAATCCCTGACTATCCAGTGTCTTGGGACGTCCTCCCTACGTGAAAGGCATTATACAAATGTAACTTTGTATTGTATCAAACATGGGATAAGGAGGATAAAAATAAAAACTGATAAACTAGGTATTGCACTTCATTGAGATAGCTCAAAGCCATTTTAAGGCTCTATAAACAAATGCAAGGATTCTTATTAGTGTTGTAAATAGGAGAATGGGGGAGATTGCTTGCCAATGATTCAACAGCAACAGATTACATTTACACAGCGCCTTTCACATCAGGAGAATGTCCCAGGAGCTGGACAGTCAGGGATTTGGGATCAGGAGGTGTGGAGGGGAGTGGTGTGGTTGAAGAGGGGTTTGAAGATGTTAGGCTCAGGCAGTTACCCCAATGCCCAAACTTTGGCTCCTGCCAACCTGCTTCTAATACTTGCTGGAATTAGGTAAGCAGGAGGAGTTCCTCCAGGGAGAGAGTGCGTATCCCATTCCAACAATCTATGGGATTTCCATGTACAGATGGGAAGCATGGAATTCTCAGTTTGGTTTGGATATTCTTAAGTACAGTGACGGGTTTCTGCATATGTCTGACTCAAAAACAATGGTCGGTGTCTGAGTGGGTATTCTGGAAGGATGAGTATGCCCTAACCCTTCATAATGTAATGTGTGGGGGCACCACCAGGAAATACAGATGTACCCCACTTGGTAATCAATCTTAGCATTTCATAACTTGCTCAAGTAAACTAAACACAGAATTAAAAAGGAAGATTTTGTTTGGAAAATATATTTCCTGAGCAGGGTGAGAAGGATTGATTGGATCTGTGTGTACAGTGTGTACAGTTTACACCACGGCACTTGTAATAAAATGACTCGCATTTGATGTGGCGCCTTAAAAATTATAATAATCCTTACACGTAAGGCAATCCATTGCCTTATCGCATCTCAAAGCGCTTCACAGGATTTGCTGTGACAATGGAGTGACTGTGCATTTGTAGGCAAACATGCCGCCAACTTGCAATGTCCCACAGACAGCTATGAAGTGATCGGTTTAATAATCTGGGGGTTTGGTGCCCAGGACACTGGAGAAACGCTTTCGGGAACAGTGCCAGGGGATCTTAGAACGACCACCTGAACAGGCAAGAAAGATAGCCCAAAGCCCACCCAAACAATTGCCAACCCCCCCCCCCCCCCCCCCCCCCCCCAAATAACTGGCCAAGACTTTGTTTTGCATCTCTCAACTCAGCCTCGTTGGAGTGCACATTGCTGCTGATGTCAGCGTGTGTTGGTTGACGTGTTGTTCAAGGAGTCCGGAAGAGATTGAGGTATTCAATGTGGATTGAGGATTATAGCACTGGGGGTTGATCTGCAAAAATCAGCTCAGTGCTGGACCTCGCTTACATAATCACTGCCTGAGGTTCAGCCTCCGATTGCAAACCCACCCTTTTTGTCTGTTGCAACTGGCATCATGTTTGCAACTTGAACCACCTTCTCTTTATCGTCTGTGCTTCATTGCAGATTTTTGCAACCCACTTTATCGGGGGCAATGGGGAATGGAATGAGCAAGGTAAGGAAGGCTCTGGTACCTCTCTCTCTCTCTCTCTCTATCCTGAGTCTTGTTGACGTTGTTGCCAATGGAAATCACTAAATGATTCCTCAGCTCATGTGTTTTGCTTTTATAAATCCCTAAATGATGCCTTTGTGACACCAGATCATATTTTGTTATTGTGGTCGCTGAGTTGATGGAGCCATCGTGGGGGTGGGTTGGAATGATATTAACTTGAACCCTACTGTGGTATGATATGCATTTATATATTTTGATCTAAATGGTATTTGAATTGAATTGGGAAGCCTGTTTGGTATTTTTGTATTAACGTCGCAAGGGCAGCTCTTTAAGGGAAGCTCTCAAAAAAACATTCACATTGCCCACACGTATAAAAGCAACGTGTTATTATGTAAGTGTTAGGTTTCCAACAATGCAGCCCCACAATGCAGAACCAACCTAGAAAGTGATTTGGTGGAGCAAAATTATTCAGAGACGTCAAACGATGGGTTTTTAATTTGATATTATTTTATTATTATTGATAATAACGATAAAGAGAATTGCAAATCTTATTGATTTAATGATAGCAATTGGTTAGTGGTGTGAAATATACATATTAATAATGATAGGAATAATAATCCTTGCATTTGATAAAGTGCCTTATGACGATGTTGCGATGTCTCAAAGCGCTTCACAGAATATATAGAAAGGATTACTATTATATATTCTAATATATAGAATATATTGGTGAATTATTGAAGAGTCGAGAGTCTGTGTGTGTGTGAAAGTTGGTAATATCTGGACTAAGTTTACACTGTAGCTGCTCCAGACAATTCTTGAGTCATCGAGACAGAATGCTGCAGCCGATTTAAATCTGTCCTTGGGTTTAAGAGACACTCCCTAAGGACCTGGCTTCAATTACCGACAGCCCACGTAAAACACTAAATTTAACTTGTGGTTAGATGCTTGTCCATTCTTCGCAAATGTCTTCCACTCAAATAGCACCGCTTGTCAGCTCCAATGAGCGTTGCGACTTAAACATGATGCTGTTATTTCAGCTACAAAGACTTGCATTCAACTAAACTGATGGCAGTCAACACAAAGCCTCCTCTCAAAGTTTATTACATTTATTTTATGTACGCTGAACATTTTTTTTTCTTCCCTTCCTTTCCTCTTCTCAAGATGCTTTTGACTCCTTTTTCTGGGGGTATAGTTTCAGGGCTGCCGTTCCAGTATCTTGCTCAAGTGACCATTATGAGCTGTCAGTGGGAGCCAGGAATCCTCACACTTGGCTTCTGTTAACCCTGCAAGCCAAAGCCCTAAAGAGTAGGGTGGTCCTAGCTGGACAAGCAGCGGGAAGGCTTGCCAGACAGTGTGATCAATGGCAAGCTGTACGATTTTAGCTGGTTAGACTCCAGCAGTTACCCCAACACTCTGGGGTCCCCAAGCCTTGGCCCTTGCCAACCTGTGCCTAATACTTTCAGGAATAACACACGCGGAAACTCATCACTATGCTTAAGAGAATCCAAACCAAACTGAGAATTCCATGCATCCCGTCTACACATGGAAATTCCAGAGATAGATTGTTGGAATGGAATACACACTGCATCCTGTTTACCCAATTCCAGGAAGTATTAGGTGCAGGTTGGCAGGAGCTAAGGCTTGGGGTCCCCAGAGTGTCTGTTTTAATTGAAAGAATACAGAGCAAGGGTTCACGTTATATGTTTGTGTGTCTGCTGATGTAGACCCTTCTTCTCCTCATGGCCTGTAGGCAGTTTTAGAGCAGAGGTGTTTGCGCTCTTTCCCGAGAACTCGGACTGTCTGACGCCTTGCAGAATGGTAACGTTTGGAAAGATCTTTTCTGAGCAAGGGTTGTAGCTTCCACACTCTGCCAATGGCTAAAAGGCACTCATTGCGCCATTCATACCAAAAGGTTTGCAATGGCTCCGTTAGCAGTGCTACAATTGGTCTTAGGGAGAGGGGAAAGATCAGCCAGGGTTTCTGGCTCCAGATTGCTATCGAGAACTCCCTCCTCACCCCCCCCCACCCCACCCCCTCACTCGCTGCATGGGGCCTGCATTTAAACAAAGAGTCAGAACAGGGTCAATGTCCTTAACAGTACAATAATCCTCCGGGACTCAGCATCCAGGCTCATGTGCACACAGCGGGAGAGATAGCAGAGAACTCCCAGGCACTTCTGGAGCTGTATCCTTAGCACCAGTCAATATCCCGCAGAGGGAGGGTAGAAAAGAGGTCCAAACAATGTTAAAGTCCATTTGATTCTTTTACAAGAGTGCCTCAATTTAAGAATTTTAGTCTTCAAAGGACAAACAAACTTCCTGCGTAAGAGATGAACTGATAAACAGGCAACTTTCGCTCGCTAGTCAAACACGCCTGAGCCCCTCATTTCTCAAATCAGCTGTTTCGCTCAGCAAATAAGTAATTACTGTACAACATTAAAACACGGGGCCCTGGGGTATTCTTTACAGGTTTTACCCTATACGGCTTGACGTGGTACACGTTCCTAGCGTGTGGTTAGTTTCAATCCTTGCACGTAGGAATGTGCGACAGACGAGTGGAACCCAGAGCGTTGACTGAAATCCAAATCCATCTGGGGTTTGTGTAATGATGCTGGGAATAGCTCTGACTGCAAACAGCTCCTGGTTTCTCAGCAACTGTTTATAGGAAAAGAACTTGGCAAGTGAAGTGCATTCTGTGCAAAGGTCATTTGACGGCCAATCTGCCCGTGTGTTTTTCAAGGTGCCTTGAACAGATTAGGTGGAAGTACTCGCTCAGTGGGACAGTGAGCTACGGCAAGTAGCTTGTCCTCAATGTGATTTACAGATGTTGCTCACCTATTGTTCGGATAAGAGTCATTCTGTTGAACTCATGGAAATGTCAGCACAACAGGGCTGCTGTGACTGTACTTGTGCCTAGAGCCTCTCCCTATAGCTGCCTGCTCTAATTCCATTTCCTTGTTCTTTCTTCACACCCTTTTTATATCTTTATATTAAACTCCTTGCATTTGATATAGCGCCTGTCCCCGTCAGGAGCACGTCTCAAAGTGCTTCACAGCTCGAGCCCCCAACCTTCTGACTTGGAAGCTGACACAAATATCGTGACGTGATGGGATGAATTTAATCATCCGAGATGACTGAATCCACACTGCTAAAACTCTGACTAAAAAGTAGCAGCGTGGGATCATGTATCTGCGAGTGTTGGTCGGTTTTGTGCCAGGATGTGGGCTTGTGGTTGTAATTTGCCACACAAAAAGTTCCTGAAAAAGCAGTGTATGTTGTAATTACTGATAGCTTCTCCTCCAGTATAGCTGTATTTGTTTACCAGCTCTGCACAGCCAAACGCTATTAAATCTCCTCGCTTTATTTACCTTTTCAGACCCTGTCAGTTTTCTTAGGTTCTAACCACAAATCTCTTAAGATATAACCATGAAGGAGTTAAATGTGTGTGTGTGAGTGCACTATTCTCTTTTGCCAGTGGAGATGTTTGATGAGATTACAGAGCTCAGAAATCAATATCCTGTGTGAAAGGTGCTATATAAATGCTAGTTGTTGCTACTTTACATCAAGTTTCTGATCTCGCCCCAGGTCATGATGGGCAATGGGCGATAACTGAAACAAGCCACTGATGAAAATAGTGAATAAAGAGCACCTTAGCACACTGTAATCCTGTACGCTTTATATATAACAATAATCTAATTTTAATATATTAATAATAATTTATACTGGTGAGTTAAGAGTGTTGCTGGAGCTGGTAACAGGAGACAATTAATTTAATAAGTCATTCTTGTTTTCTCTCGTTAGGTTTTAGATGGACTCTATCTCGGAAATATTAGAGGTACGTTCACACTCTACTTTTTTGGGGGGGAAAATTACTTAAGAGTTCTGGCTGAAATACAAAACCCCATTTTTGATCATCATGAAGTCATGTCTTAAGCATTTCTCTTTCCCAATGTCTTGTTATTGAGAAAATGACCGTTGTAAAGTTCTCTTATTTACAGTGTGGTCCAATCCTTTGGCTGCTGAGGTCCGGATGACCTATTTCCGACTCCATTTTAATCATAATAATAATTCTTGCATTTGATGCCCTGTGGGCCACATAAGCAATATGTTTGTGTTTCCCTTCCAGAAACATAACATAACATTTATGGGTTATGGAGAGAGTGGATGGGACCAGGTGAAATGGAGAGGGGGTGGGGGTGGGGGGGGGGTGGGCGGGGGATGAAATCGACCCGTGGGCCGCCAGTTGGACCACCTTGAATCATGTCTGTTCTCTTGGTTTTAGGTAAGTTAAGTCAGGAACCGAGGCAACTGCAAAACAAATTGATGGGTCATGTGGTTTTTCCGACTCTGTTTTAATCATAATAATAATTCTTGCATTTGATACAGGGTTAGCTTGCACCTGGCCACTCACTGATCTGCCAAATTTGAAGCAGGTTCAGGCATGTTGTTCACCTCCTGCCAAGGCTTTGGCGAAGGCTAAGTGGTGACCTCCTCTTGCTGTGGCTGTTTGCAGAGGGAGTGTCAGAGACTGAAGAAAAATTAATGCGCACTGTGCGCCAACCGCTTCCCTGGGCTGGGAAGGCTGTGTGAAAAGCAGAGAACTCTCCCAGTTCCCCTTTTCTTCACCTCGCTCAGATTTCCACTCCACCCTCTGTAAAATGCTTTGAGGCATTATCCTGTGTGAGAGGCTCTGCATCAGTGCATGTGTTTGTGGTAGACACATACCTGGGAAGTAAAGGTATTAAGGGGTGCGGAGAAAAGGCAGGGCAATGGGATTAAAATATCTGACATGATCCAACAAACTGTCAGGAGCCTTGATGGGCGTCAGTGTGGCAATTAACTTGGCAAACCAGATTCATTGCATTCATTGCACTCATGACCATGTTGTCATTCAATAATAAAATGTACGGTTGTTTCGAACGTGCAGCTGGAAACTGGTTCCACATTACCTTCCACAGCCCCAGGTTTCCTTAATAAATGTGTCCATAGTGTTTATTCCCTCCCTTTGGGTGGCCTGACCCTGGGACTTTGAAGTACCCTGGAATACAAACAGGGAGAACTATAAACAGAAAGCTCAGTGTATACAGTGCTGTAGTGGTCTCTCCCAAGCGAGACTTCACCCTCTCAAAGCTCAGCCATCTTCGGGTGAGGTCCTTGCTATTCACTGCGCGTATATTTAATGTTATGGTAGATGCTGATGAAGTGGATAAACGATAAGTTGTTTAGTTTGTCCATCTTCCTTGACACTCTGACCGCACATCTCCAGCACCCGGAAAGTTTAAGAATTTTTCCATTCTTAGCCCAAGACTTTGTTTTCTATGCCGTATCTCTTTGCGTGATGATATTGTGTGTGGAGTCCTGTAGTCTATTGTAGTGAGAGGACCCAGGTTTGATTCCCAGGCAGGGTGAAACCTTAGGCAAGTTTCCTTACTCCACATGCGTCTGTTTACCTCGCACCAATTCACTTTACAGTATACTTTGTGAAGTGCTTTGAGACATCTCAATGACGTGATAAGGCGCTAATTCAAATGCAAGGATTTTAAAAATTATTGATATGATTTTTTGAAAAAAAAAGAGCTGCGGAAATCATTTCTTTCCATTCTCTCCTCTCCACAGACTCCAAGGATAGAGAGAATCTGACAAAGAATGGGGTTACACATGTCCTGTCTGTGTGCCACAATGCGGAGGCTGTGCTTGAGGTAAGAGAGAGCGAGAGAGATATCTCCATTCAGCTGGAGGCAAAACAAGTGTTTCCTCTGCTGTTGTTAGCTTGGCTCAGTTGGCAGAGATTTGGGTCAGTAGGTTGTGGGTTCAAGCCCGATGTCAGGACTTGAACTTGCACTCCAGGCTAACACTCCAGCACTATATATATATATATATATGTATATCATATCAAATGTGACTAACTGCACGGAGCAGAGATAAAGCCTAGTTCTGCAAAGCTGACCTTCACCCTGGATGATACATTTTACTCAATGCGAAAAGTGACTGATGCGTTCATCTACAAAATGTGCTGGATAAATCCTGCATTTGAGGCTAAGGAGTCTGTTACTAATCTGTCTGTATATGTCAAATATCATGTTAGGACTTGAACTCACGTAGTCTAAGCTGACGCTCCTATTCAGAGTGTGATGCATTGTTGAGGTGCTGTCCTTCAGATGAGACCTTAACTGAGGTCCGTTCTACCTGTTCAAGTGGACATTAAAGATCCCATGGCACTATTCGTAAAGAGAAGGGAATTTCTTTCTCCCTGGCCAACAATGTCCCAAATAAAATTGGTCATTCATTTATTTCGTTGCTATTTGTGGGACATTGCTGTGTGCAAACCGGCTGCTGCCTGTAAACACACGGTAACTACGTTTCACAGTAAATCATGCGAAGCGCCTTTGAGAAGTCCTTCTGAAGTGATAAGGTGCTACACCAAATGCAAGGATTATTATTATTATTATTATTATTATTATTATTACAGTCAGGAAACACCAGAGGGCAGTAAGTATTCACCTGAACATCATGTTACATAATCGGGCATTTTCTGGTCTTTGTGGGTTGGTGGTGGGTGTCTCTGACCACAGGCGGCGCTGTGGTACTGCCTTACTGTGTTTGGTACAGGTTGTGATCAGACTCCAAACTGGTTCCCACCGATCGTGCTAAATAATAACTCCAGGCAATATTTTCCATCTGTCGGGAAAGCCACGGAGCCTGGCGGTGTGTGCTGCCCATTCCAGAGGAATGATTCCCACTTCCCAATATAAATGCATGGAACGGGCTCCCCAGGGAGACAGAAAGTGGAAGCAAAAGGTGTTGATTCTTTCAAAAGCAAATTATATAGATAAGATTTCTTTTAGGGGATAATATCTCAGAATACAGTATGGGTCACGACATGTGCATCTGACTGCTAGGATAGTGGCAGGTGAACTGGATGGACCTTGGTCTTCTTTCGTCTAGCAATTCTTATGTTCCCAAAAAGCATAAAACAAGCCCCATTAATTAATAATAATAGTAATCCTTACATTCGATACAGCATCTTTCACATCAGTAAAACGTCTCAAAGTACTTAACACTGTTAAGTGTTGTGGCTTTTTTTTGTGTAGTTTCGTATGGCTTCTGAGGGTTCGAGCATTTTTTAAAGGTTAAGTCCATCGGATAGATGGGAGCAACAGTATTTAAAACTAAACACTTTCAGTGTTTATCACTATCAAAATTTACCGAGACTGCGAATTACAGGGAGGGGTGGTTGAATGATAAGCAATTTGCAGGGTGTTCCTGTGTCCCTCCCAGCAGCCAACTCAGGGGAGACTTGAGAGAGTATCAGGTTCCCAGCATCATAGCAGGAAATTGGGGCGAGAGATTCGGGCAAATAACAACAGCATCTAAATAAATTGAGGATGGGGTTAGTGGGTGGGGGTGAGAGCAGATAGTTTCGACCTTGTCTTCAACCTGCTGTTTCGCTCCCGCATTTCATCCTTTGAGAATCTATTCAAAATCACAAAAGAGAACTCAATTTCACTCACAGACATACTGTCAATCCACTTTACAGTATATTCTGTGAAGCGCTCTGAGATTCCTCGAAGACGTGATAAGGCGCTATATCAAAAGCAAGGATTATTATTAAATTAGATAGATTTCTGTTAGGAAGTAATATCTCGGGATACAGTATATAGTTTGGAGCACTCGACTGCCAGGATGGTGGAAGGCAAGCTGGATGAACCTTGGGCTGATGAAAGCTCTTTATTATCCAGCACCTTGGGATGTCCTCCCAACGCAAAAGGCTCATTATAAATGCAATTTGTTATTTTTGTTGCTGTTGAAGGTCCACCTCAACAGACAGACAGACAGACAGACAGGACATGGGTTTTAATGTCTCATCTGAAGGACAGCGTCTCCAACAGCGCAGCGCTGCACTGGAAAGATAAATAAAACTGTGAGCTCAAAGTACCTGATGTGGAGCTCAAACCCACAAACTCCCTGTTTCAGAGGCGAGAGGCCACTCAACTTTTTGAAACGTAATAATAATTTGCTCCCGAAGTTTCGCCTTGTGTGGGCGGCCAAGGAAAGAGAGGTTATAGTGAGAGTATGAGAGTGGTGGGGCGGTGGGGGGGGTGTAGTGGGGGATATGCTCTGTAGGGACTCCCCCTTCTCTCTGTTTCAGTTCTGATGATGGGTTTGTGCCCGAAACATAAACCTAGCTTTCGTTTTCAGATGCCGATTCATGTGGATTTCCAACATTTCTGTTTTAATTTCATTCTAAAGCTCTAGCCAATAAGCCTAAAAATACACAGTCACTACACTTTACTACAGTACATCTGTATATCCCGTGAAGCACTTTGAAACGTCCTCCTGACGCCAAAGGCGCTATATGAAATGTAAGGAACATATCAAACAAAATGTAATGAATTTATGATAAATGGCCCTGAAATTTCATCTTGTCTAAACTTGTGAGGCCAGTTTGCTTTACATATTTAAGAATTGTAGAAATTCTTAAATTCTTCTCCCTCCCCTCGGCTTGGCGTCAGGCTCCGCTACCTTTAAGAGCTCCGAGACGCTACCTTGGGTGAAGGGCGCTATATAAATGTAAGTTGAGACAGGGTGTGAGGTTGGCTCTCCCCCCTAAACAGCGACAGGCAACGGAATCTGGCAACGGAATCAATCACCAGAGGACTATTGAGACGTGAACCAAATCACTCCTAACTGCAAAGTAATCAAAACTCTTCACATTTGCTATAATCCCTGAGAGCAATGGCTGAAGGTTTTTGGGAACCCACTGTAATGGGTTTGACAACTGCCATCAAAAATCACAGCAGCGTTTCGTAGTGCGTTGCTTAGAGATTTGCCTAGACACATGGTTCTGACCAGCGGTGCATAGCACAAATGCCCAGGCCTGATCCAGCATGCCCCTTTTGATGATATAAGACCCATTGTTTCAGTAAACATGAATAACTTTAGCTGTAACATAAATTCAGTAGTTAAAGAGTAACCATCTGTCAACACCCTTAAGAAATTCCTAGATTTACCCTTTTTGATGTAAGATTTTTGGGCGTCCAGAATTTTATCAGAAATAAATAATATAATTTAATCGGGAATTTAAGCAAATTCTCACATCCAATGCGTTGGGGGTGATGTTCTTCGGATGAGACATTAAACCGATGCCCTGCATGGCTGGATGCTGGCACTATTCAAAAAGAAAAGGAAGTTTCTCTTCCCTCAGGTAAAAGCGGTTATTCACTTCACGGCTGTCTGTGAGACAATCCTGTGTGCACATTGGCTACCATGTTCCCCTATAAAAATACACAGTCACATTAGAGTGAATCCTGTGAAGCGCTTTGATGAACCCTCTCAACATGAGAGGTGCTCTGTGAAATGCAGGCATATTTATCTATTAACTCACAATCTACCTCAAATAGCCTGGTTGTATCTATAAAATCCATGGCTCTGAGCACTGTAAAGAGACCTATATCATGTCCCAACTCCTTTGTCTTTTGTGTCCCATTGGTTCTTTAACCTCTGTTAATAACTGGCACTGGAAAAGTGACTGAAAAAGTGGGTGTTCATGTGATACATTGTGTGATTGCTGTCGGCTTCCTAGGTTGTAAGCAGTTTGTATGAATGGTACCTGTAATATCAGCTACAGTATCACACAGGAATACAGAATAGTTTTGAGCTTTTGGGTAAGGGTGACATTTACTGTAACCGACACAGTAATCCTATAATAATAATCCTAGCATTTGATATAGCGCTTTTCACGTCGGGAGGACGTCCCAAAGCGCTTCACAGAACACACTGTAAAGTGAATTGACTGTATATTTGTGGGCGAACGCGGCAGCCAATTGCGCACAGCAATGTCCCACAAACAGTCGTAGATTGAAAATGACCAATTTATTATTGGTTTTTTTGGGGTTTTGGAGGGATTATTATTAGGCTCTGTGTGGAGTAAGGAAACTTGCCCAAGGTTTCGCCCTCTGCCTGGAATTGAACTCAGGTCTCTCACTCGCAAAGTGAGTGCTCTAACCACTGAGCTACAGGACTCCACTAGCAGTAGCAGCAGAATGCTGAACAAGTCACACATCTGAATTACTGCAATGAAACTACTGCATCACTAACCAGTGTTAACCTTTTCCTTACAACAAACCAAACCAAACAAACCAAAAGGGCTGGCCTTAGGCTGACATGTTTTTTTTGCTGTTTTTCACAACGCGGTTCCTTTACGCTATCTCTGGAGCTGAGATCTTGCCTCTCTCGCGCATAATGGGTCTACTGATTCAATACATCAATACACCAAGACATAGCTCAGACCAAAATAGCTGGAAATAGTTGAATGTCTACTTTTTTTTAAATGGTTGAATCACTGCATGGAACATGTGTCTATTTCTTCACATGCACCAGCCCAGCTTTCGATTCACCAATGCAGTTTTCGATTCATGAGCGCAGGTTTGATTTACACCAGTGCAGCCTTGATGTGCCAAAGTTCTTGTAGCACTCAGTGTCTGTGTGCAAACATCTGTATACAGAGCAGAAGAACCAGAAAATTTGTGCACAAAGAGGGAAGCCATTTATCCCTTCATATCCCTACTGGTGCCAACTTCCACCTGGGAGCGCTCTGCTCGAACACATCCTCCTGGTCTGTCCTCCACCTGCTTGTGCTGGTGATAATTTCTTCATTACCACAATTCTTGGTATGTGTTTTTCATTTCCTGTGATTTCCCCCGCATGAGTTTATATCACTCTTTAAGCATCTTAAATCCCTTTGGAACAGCTTCAATTATACCTACTGCAGTGAAAAACAGTACAGGTTTCGATTACATCTACTCTGGTCTCAGTCAGATTGCTGAGAATGAGTGGACAATGACTGCTTTGTCACGAGGAGTTCATTAAGTGCGTTTGTGTAAAAAAAATGTTTTGATTTAGATATTTTTAAATCCATGCGGAGTATATATAGAGTAATATGCAAATAAAATAATCCCACTCGGGACATGGGACCTTGTACCCAGTGATGTGATGGTCCTTTGGGTCTAATGTCACAAGGCAGGATAGTTTGAGAGATGTGAACCAGAGGTGGCAGATTCAGGTGGAATGTGTCCACCTGGCTCAGTCGGTAGCGCTCTCGCCTCTTGAGTCAGTTTGTGGGTTCGAGCCCCACATCGGGGACTTTGAGCTCACACACTCTAGGCTGATGCTCCAATACAGCGCTGGGGGCACTGCTGACAATCACTCTAATTGAAATCGGTCGTTCACTTCATGACCGTTTGTGGGATGTTGCTGCTCGCGTATTAGCTGCCTCGTTTGCCTACAAAATACAGAGTCACTACACTTTATTATTATTGTAACAACATCTTGTGAAGAGCATTAAGATGTCTCGACGATGTGATAAGGCACGGTATCAAACGCAAGGTTTATTAATGGTTATTTTTATTCACCAAGTCTTTACTAGGAAAGCCACAGGTGGACAGGTGAGGGAAGTAGGTGGTGGGGCAGGGTGGGGTGAGAATGGGCTCGTGGGGAGAGGGTTCACTTTAGGGGCTGACTCTGTGCTTGTCTTCCCCTCACAGGACATGACATACCTGTGTATTCCTGCTGCAGACGCTTCAAACCAGAACCTGTGAGTAACAAGAAGAGCAAACGTTGCCAAGTCTGAGTGCGTACAGGTGTGAGCTGAATGCCTGTGACTGGGGATTTACCCAGGCACCTGATTTGCTTATTATACCCCGCTTCAGGCCCGAGTGTCTTGTTTATTTTGGACCATGGTTCGGCCACCCCTCTTTCCCCTCCCCTCCCTTCTTCCCCGACCCCAGCTCGGGTCTGAAATGCTGTACACTGTCCAGCGCCTTGGGACATCCTCCCGACATGAAAGGCGCTATACAAATGTAATCTTGTTGTTGTTGTGTTGGCGTCCCGGTTCTTGTGTCTTGCTGGGACGGAGCGGCTGGCAAAATTCTCACCTCTCCCCGACGGCAAGTCACTGTTTGTAGGACACTCCTGCTTCACCCGCAAAATACACAGGCAATTCACTTTTCAGTATTTTCTGTGAAGCGCTTTGAGATGTCTCGACGATATGATAAGATGCTTTACCAAATGCAAGGTTTATTATTATTGTTATCGAGTTACTCAATGGACCAGGCTCTACACTGATGTGGAATGTCAATCTCCCTGCTGATCGCCCACCCCATAGCCATGCCTTCCCATCTTTTGGCAAAAGCAGTGCCTCTCCCATGACTGACCATAAATTAACCCAAAGTATTGGACTTAAATCTCAACGCTGTTGCTTTGAAGTCAGTTGGCAGTTGATAATAATATTATTAATAATCCTTGCATTTGATACAGTGCCTCCGAGATGTCTCCAAGTGCTTCACAGGATACACTGTAAATCGAGTTGGTTGTATATTTTGTGGGCGAAATGACTTTTGAATTACGCCTTTAAAGAGGAAATGAATGAATGCCCCTGCCACGAAACTGCTCACGATGAAAAGTTATGTGTTTTTTCTTTCACAGAAGGGAAATTATAAAAAGAATTGAAATTTCTTTATGGGGGTTGGGAGGGGTGGAAATACTTTCAATTGAAACTGTACCTCCCACATTCAGGTGTTTTTTTCTCAGCTAATCATTCTCATACTGTCAAAAGCCTGATGTATTGTAGTGATCTAATACACAGGTTATATCACCATATAATTCCTAGCTCTGACCTCTGCGTTGCCTCATAGTTTGGAAGCAAGGAGAATGATTCTCTTTCTTCTGATTCTCAGAGCTAAGCTAAGGACAATATATAAATGTAAGTTGTTGTTGATGTTGTACTTATCGGCAATTGTTGCTGTGAGCTTTGTCAGTTTTATTCTGGTCAATGGAACACCCTTGTTGAAACCCACGCAAAATAGATTCATTGGTCCAACAAGAACAAGGTGCCCTTGTTTACTGGTAGAAATTCTGTTGAGCGTTTCCTACGATTAAAGGCTGAAGAGGCTGTGAGTTAATGCTGAATGGAATTTTTTTTTTACCCCAAGCTGCCTTTCATGTGGAATGGCATCTCCAGGTGCCTCACTGGAACACTGTTGATCATTGAGCTCTCAGGCCAGTCAATGCCTCAACCTCCCTCGCCCTCCTCCCCTCCTCTGTGCAGTCAACAAAGCAGCTCTGGTCTCCTCTAGTAGGGGACTTCTCTTCCTTCTCTTACCAGAGTGAAAATTCTGCATTGTTTCTGTCCCTCCGATAAGAGACTAAGATCAGAGCGGGGTTTATCCTTAAGCCAATAACATTATAACATCGCCCCTCCCCCTGGTTTTGAATGGCCAACAAAACTCTGTTGGCAGCGACTGGCCATTTGGACCCCATTGTTTTCTTTCCCAACGTTTTTCCACAAAACAGCTGGGAAATGATCCACCAGTGGAACTTGCCTCTTGTATCTTTATGGAGAACTAATGGCTCCGTTTACAAGAAATGCCTTTCTGGGTACTGCACCGCTTTATTCCTTTTTGCATTCAGAATGTGTCTAAGAGCAACGACCACAGGAAGGAAGAACGCTCAATTTACAGAAGTGCCTTTTTTTCTGCAGTTGTATGTGCTTTTTTTTTTCCGTTTGATTTCACAATTGTCATGAGCGCTGGGAGATCCATTTGGGATGAGCCCGTCCTGAACACCATTCCCAGGGGACGGTAATTGCTCACTCGGGCAATCTGAGTCCTGAGAGATATAAGAGGTACCAGAGGTCATTGGTATGAGAGTGCTTCCTCCATAAAGATAGCTTTGCCAAATACAAGACAAATTACCAAATACAGGACAACTCTTTTACATAACACGCCTCACTACAGCACATGTTCGCTTACAGCTGCATTGTTTCAAACATTTTCCAACGTATCACGTTTGGCGTTGGGAGTCCAGCTGAGCCCAGGTGTCATTAAATGGTTCAGGTCTTACTGACTGCAGATATTTTATGCACCGTGAAGGGCTGGAGGAAACTATTGTGAAGAGCAAAGCCTTCTTATTAATATCTTTCTGCATGAGTGAGACTCAGCAATCAGAACAATTGTTTCCTAGTAATTCCAAGCTTTGATTCAGATTGGGTTGGGAAGGGAGTGAAGGTGTGGGTAAATGGTGTTATATAGGGGTTGGAAGCTGGCAGGAGTGTTGGGGGGTGGGGAAGGAGGGGGGTGGTGGTGGGGGGGGTGGGTGTGGGGGGCGGCGGCGTTGGGTGCAGGAGTGGAAGCTTGCTAGAGGAAATAACACATTGCACAGGGCTGCACCTGCACAGGAAACTCATAAGAATTGCCAAGGCAACATCCACCCATTGTCCAGTCTGTGCAGATTCTCAGAGAGTCAAGTCTGCTGATTGTATTCGAGTAGTATAAAGTATAAAAGTGCGTGATTTTTTTTGTGTTATCTGGTTTTATCCTGATTGATGACACCTCAACCCTGGAAATCCCATTATAAAGACACAACAATAAAAACAACAACTTGCATTTTTATAGCCCCCTTTCCGTCTCGGAGCGCATAACGCAGAGATTGCTGCGATTACTAATCGGCAAATGACAGATCTCATTTTTGGAAGCTTGTCCCAAACCTCTCCCTACACCCCAATCACCTCCACAGAGAGAATGCTAATAATATTAACCTTTCACATTGGATGAGCATCTCAAATAATAATAAATAATAATAATCCTTGCATTTGATATAGCGCTTTTCACATCGGGAGGACGTCCCAAAGCGCTTCACAGAATATACTGTAAAGTGAATTGACTGTATATTTGAGGGGGAACGCGGCAGCCAATTGCGCACAGCAATGTCCCACAAACAGTCGTAGATTGAAAATGACCAATTTATTATTGTTTTTGGTTTTGGAGGGATTATTATTATCTCAAACCGCTTCACAGGGTTCATTGCAAAGTGATTTATGTACTTTTTAGGCTGATGTGGAAGCTAATTTGCGCATAGCAATATGAAAACCGTGATTTGAATGGCCAATTTTTTAATTGGGGGATTGTTGGGCCAAGATACCGAGAGAGAGAAACTCCATTCTCTTTTCGAATCATGGGATCTTTAACATCCACCTGACCTGGCAAGAGCAGGAATTTCCATGTGTAGGTGGCATATATATGTGGAACGCTCTGTCTGGTTTGGATACTCATAAGAAGGGCGATGAGTTTCTGCATGTGTCAGACACCCGGCTGACCAAAAAACCCCCCCAGGCAGCCGGGATCTCGCTTTGACATGTAATCCGAAGGATAGCACCTTCAACAATCAAGGTCTTTCCTAGTCTTTGAAGCTGTGAAACTTCTGCTTTTGGAAAAATGACTTTCTTCCAGATTTTCCCACAGACGGCTCGGTTGGTCAGTGCACTGACCAGTGTTATCCCAGAACCACCCTCTATTGTGTTCTGTAACTCCACAAATAATAGTCATTACACTTCACAGTATATCCCATAAAGCAATTGGATACTTTGTTCTGACATGAAAGGCCCTATAACAAATGCAAGGATTTTTTAATTATCCGTTGTGGCAAAGTAAATTCAAGTTATAACTTGTTGGTGCCGGTATTGATCTGGGTTCGATTCCCGGCAGGGCGAAATGTTGGGCAAGTTTTCTTACTCCACACCCGTCTGTTTACCTAGCAGTAAGTAGGAACCCAGTTGTTAGTCGATTGGCGGATCGGTTTTCCAGGGATAATAATCCCTCAAAAATAAATTTGGTCACTCAATCCACGACTGTTTGTGGGACACTGCTGTGCCACATTTCACCCACAAAATATACAGTCAATTCACTTTACAGTGTATTCTATGAAGTGCTTGGAGACATCTCGAAGATGTGATAGAGTTATATCAAATGCAAGGATTATTATTATTATATGTTCACGGAAATGACCTGGGGTCCAACGGCTGTGGTGTTTGACAAGGACACAGTTACTGTCTCAGTGCCAGGGATTGTTCAGTCTACTTGAGGTTAACCCCAAGCACCAATTGTACTTGTAACAGAGCTGGAGCTGAATGTACCTTAGAGTGACAAAGGTGATGTCCGGGGAAGACGCCAAACCATGCTCTCAGGACAAGCGTTCTTTTTCTCCTTCCACTGATAGTTAGACTTGGGATCGGAGTCAGGGCCGGATATTTTTTAGTAACTGGGAGAAATATCTCTAAAAAGGAAAACTCAAGTGTTGAAAACATCAGGGCAAACATGAGGTTTTAATTCTGTTTGTAAAGCCTCTCCAAGTGACAAAGGTATGTGCGCAAATGTTTACTTACAGAATCAAAGAATGTTACAGCACAGAAACAGACCATCAAGTCCAGTTGTTGGTATTCTTCTCTATACGAGCCACCCAGTCTAACTCATCACACCCTCACGCTCGCTCTCCAAACCCTACACTACAGAGCACCATTCCTTTTTGTAACGGCCTTCTCTTGTCCTTTGATTCCTGCAACAATAGCATCGATAATAACAATAATCCCTGCGTTTGATAATAGACATGTTGCTTAGCACTTCACAGGAATTACTGTTAACGTAGTCGCTGCAATTTTGTAGGCAGACTCAGCAGCCAATTTGTGCGCAACAACGTGCCACAAACAGCCAGGGGCTGAGCGACCAATGTATCTGGAACTTTGTTGGCCAAGTCACCGGGGAAACTCCATTCACGTTTGGAATAGGTTCTTTACCATCCAGCTGAACAGGCAGATGGGACCTCCGTTTAATGTCTTATCTAATGTTCCAGGAGGAAAATGTGTCTCAACTCTAAGCGACCAAGAGAATGGAATTTATAGAGATGAGGTGGTACTGGTTACAGTACATTGAAAGAGAGCACAACGATAGAGACAGAAATTTGCTTCCCACTCTGGGATTCCACGCACAATTACAATGTCATTTACATTTCTACAGGGAGTTGCATGTCTCAAAGTGCTTGACATTGCTGAGAAGGTCAGAGCATAAGAACATAAGAACTGCTTGGCGAAAGAAGACCAAACTCTATCCAGTTCACCTTCCACCATCCTGGCTACAGCACGACATGTCGTGTCCCAAACTGTATACTGTATCCAGAAATATTATTTCGCCAGAGATGAAATCTAATATAAATGAGCCGATACCGTCACCAGTAACTGTTGTCTTGTTTGCTTTATCCAGGCTGCAGTACTTTAAGGAGTGCATCAAGTTTATTCACATGTGTCGACTACGTGGCGGAGGGTGTATTGTGCACTGGTAGGTTTTCTCTCTCTCCTTCAAACCCTTTGCGGCACAATTACACTACAGTTTACGTTTACACAACGCATTTCACACCGGGAGGAGGTCTCAAAATGCTACGGTTGGGAGCTGAGGGGAACGGGAGGGCAAATGAAACCATAAGCGCGGCCAAAGAGATATGTTTCGCGTTGAACCTTGAGTGAGGAGAGTGAGGGAGCGAGGGAGTTGGAAGGCCTTAGGGTGGATTGGATCTGTACACTGGACTGTAATCCTGTACACTGTATAGGACTACACTGGAGTCCTGTAGCTCAGTGGTTAGAGCACTCGCGTCGCAAGCGAAAGACCTTGGTTCGATTCCGGCAGGGCGAAACATTGGGCAAACGTTTCCTTACTCCACTCGCCTCTGTTTACCTAGCAGTAAGTAGGAACCAAGTTGATCGGTTGTTAGTCGATTGGTGGATCGCTTTTCCGGGGGTAATAATCCTTNAAAAAAAATTTGTCACTTCAATCCACGACTGTTTATGGCGACGCTGGTGTGAGCAATTGGCTGCCGCGTTTCGCCCACAAAATACACGGTCAATTCACTTTATAGTATATTCTGTAAAGTGATTTGAGATGTCTCGAAGGCGTGACGAGCCGTTATATCAAATGCAGGATTATTATTATTTACTCCCCGGACCCTCTCTGGAATTCCCAACGAAGCTTTATTTTATTGTTGCAAACATCACAAATTAGACTTGTACACAACAACATTCTCCAAATTCTCCCCCTCCCCTCCCCCTCCGCCCCTCCACCCGCACCACTGCACAACACACACAACACACAATGTGCAGCCTAGCAAGACTATGCTCTTTCTAGCGATTGGTTGACAGCTCTCTCTGTCTCTATCTCTGTCTACGTCTCCTTGCTGTCTCTCCGACTCCCATGGCACAGCTTAGCTGGAGTTTCCCGCAGCACCACAGTGGTGGTAGCTTACCTGATGACTGTGACTGATTACGGCTGGGAAGAATGCCTGTCCGCAGTGAAGGTCTGCCGATCGTATGTCAGTCCGAACTTTGGCTTCCAGCAACAGCTCCAAGAGTTTGAGATGAACCATGTCAAAGAGGTAACTCCCTAAGAGCACTGAAAGGCCACTGGGAAGGGGGGGGGGTTTTCATGGAATTTCTTATAAGAAACCTGGTAATACATGATAAAATAGTAATAATAATCTTTGTATTCGATATAGCGCCTGTCACATCAGGAGGACATCTCCAAGTGCTTCACGGGATTTACTGTGATTGTGTAGGTGAATAGCAATGTTCCACAAACAGCCCTGAAGTAAATGACCAATTTTATTTGAGGGATTGTTGGCTAAAATATCACGAGGAACTCCCTTCCCTTTTCGAATAATCCCACAGACAGTCAGGAATTTTGGTTTAACATCTCAGCCAAAGGATGGCACCTCCGTCAGTGCAGCGCAAGCTCACTTGTGTGTTTGAAGTGTGAAGTTAACAACATGGAGTCGGGTAAATATTGTACAACTTTAACTGAAGAGCCCTTTAAGCAGACCTTGTGGGGATTATTATGATGCGAAAGTAACTGCTATTAGTTTTGTCCCACGGAGGGGGTGGTAGTGGTGGGGATGGGAGGGAAAGGCTTTGGATTTGTGCCCAAATGTGTGGACTGACGCATAGGATCGCTTCCCGTTAGCAAGTTTGTGAAACTTCTGTGGAATCCTCTAGCTGCAAATATCACAGGTACCTGAAACCACACCTGTTTAAACAAAACAACAGATTCCTCAGAGCTATTCATTAATGACTCTGATTCAAATGGAGCTTTAATGTAATGGAAGTCCACCTCTAGCAAAGGAGTCCTCCTCTTCCTCCTCTTTGTGAATAATGCCATGGGATTTTTAGCGCCCACCTGCGTAGGCAGATGCGACATCAGTTTAACGTCTCTTCCGAAGGAAGCAGCGTTCCCCCAATTAATTTAATTTCTAACAGTGATACGAGTGGCTTTTGTAGCCTTGTCTGTACTTCGTAATCGCCAGCTTCATTGCATTTGACCCTTGAACACCATCCAGGTATTCCAATCCTGATACTAACCACATGTACCTCAACTGACGTGCCTCTGAGGGTTTCACACCCGCTGAACACGGAGACTTGCAGTAAAACGACCTATTCGCATGCAGACGCAAAGCAACTAACATGCAATGCATCTAAAATGTGGATGATGTTTCATCTCAAGGACAACTAATCGGATATGATCGATCATTCACTTCATGGCTGTTTGTGGGACTCTGAGGTGCGCAAATTGGCTGCTCTGTTCGCCTACAAATACAAGTGCTTCTGTCATTCCGGAATAATAATAATAATAATCCTTGCATTTGATATATATATAACGTCATGTCACCTTGTCGAGACATCTCAAAATGCTTCGAGGGATTTACTGCAAAGTGTAGTAACTGTATATTTTGTAACACGGCAGCCAATTTACACACAATAATATCACTACAGTTCACAGGAAACTCTTTGAGACATTTTAACATAATAGGCGCTAAATCAAATGTGAGAATTATCACTTATATTGTGATTAATAATCCCAGTTTAATCCCAGTCATTTTCCATCACCTCTACCATAGCTCCAGATGTTGCAGTGTTAAGTGCAGCTTTTAACTCTTGTTCTAGGAGAGTGAGTGTGTTAATAGCAAAATACTCTGCACGAAAAGAACCAGTGAAACTTTGCCTGTGGGTGTTCAGTGAATGTTTCACCCACCATAATCTGGAGGTTTTGTATGATTCATATTTAAAGAGGAACACTGCTGTAGGGAAAATACACTCAGTGTTAAGGCACGCATCCCTGGATGTACCCCATAGTGACTCCTTTACATCCAGTTGCACCAGGAATGATAGGGGAACATCTCCTGTTGAATGCTGTACCATGGCATTTCATGGAAATAAAAGTGCCCCCCATGACGAAATGGGGAATCTAGACTGGGAATCAAACCCAGGTCCTCTCGTTTGCGAGGCGAGCGTACTAACCACTACCCTACAGGACTCCACAGTATGAGTGAATCACTGAGAAGGTAGAGTTCAGCAGATACTGTGGAGTTTGCTGGAGTTTACCCGGGTGGAGGTAGGGGGGTGAGTGGCCAAGGGGAGGGGTGGGGCGGGGAAGTTTGCAGAAATTATTCTCGGGGGATTAAATTCATTGGATAGTCCCTGACAAAACAGTTTGTACATGAGGCAGAGAGCTTACTGGGCTTTTCCTGTTCCTCACCTTCGCAGGGTGTTAAAAAAAAGTTCCATCAGAAACCCTACCTCACTTTTTCTAGTGGAGGGAAGATCGCATTTTGATCAAAACAGACTTGTATCATAACCCCCTTCCCCCCTCTTCATGTGCAAGTGGCAGATTTACCAGCATTTACATGGTGTTTCAAAGAGAGATAGAGAGATACTTGGGTAGTGCAGGTATATAGGGCTGTGGTGAAAGGGTGGAGCATTGGGTTTAAAAGACCAAATAAACTTGTGAAACAGGCTTGATGGGTTGAATGGCCTCCTCCTGTTCCTGTTTACCTTTATTCCTAGTAGTGCTTTAAACGTACAGGACCCAAGGCAGCTGACTATTAAGGGAGCTTAAAAGATCTCTATGGCACTGTTCGAAAACAGAACAGAGTTTCTCCAGTGTTCTGGCTGTAAATGATCAATTTTATAATAGGATATTTATGGCTGTTGGCAGGACGTTGCTGCATGCAAATTAGTTGCTGTGTTACAAAATATGTAAAAACAAAAAATGTGTTACAGTCACTACACTTTGGAGTAAATCCCGCAAAGTGCTTTGAGATATTTCGATGAGGTGACAAGATGTTGTATCAAATGCAAGTATTATCATTCCTTAATGACAGAAGCCCAATATCCACCTACAGTTTGGAGATGATCAGAATTGTCCTAGAAATGTGACCAGCAAGGCGTTGGCTTCTATTCTTCGTTAAACCAAACAAAGTGACAGGGTCGTTCAGGTCGTAAGAATTTGCTAGATGAAAGAAGACCAAGGTCCATCCAGTCCATCATCCTGGCAGTCATATGCACATGTAATTGCCCCAAACTATATACTGTTTCCCAAGACATTGTTTCCCAAAAGAAATCTTATCAAATTTGCTTTTGAAAGTATCGACACTTTACACTTCCACCATCTCCCTCGGTAGCCTGTTCCACACATTTGCTACTCGTTCATTGAAATAGTGTTTCCACAGATTTGTTTTGAATTTTTCCCTAAGTCTTTGTGTATCAAAGAGGCCGAGCCCTGACCTCTATCTTGGGATAACGCTGCACAATAAGTGGGGGTCAGCTGTTCCCCTCAGCTCCCACCTCAGCATTGTCAAGTGCTTTGAGACAACCTCCCATAAACTCCCGTAGGTGTGTATTGTATTTAGGATAGTCCTGGCAGGACAAGCAATGGGAATGGCAAAAACAAAGATTGGAACCAAGCCAAAATCTGGTCTGATTGTTGTTTTGGGGATCATTTATGCCTTTGAACGCTTTTTTGAAGCTAACCTACAGATATTTTGGGCAGACAGCCCTTGTTGCTGCTTGCACAATCTTGTGCAAGAGAATGACTAATGCTTCTCTGTGTTGGGTTACTGGATACACACGGAGATTGTATTCTGCATTCTGACGCATCGCCCCCTCAGAGCCTTGGCCTGAATTCCGTTTCCTTAAAGGGGCAACATCGTGGAATCCTAGAAAGTTTATTGCAGAGAAAGACGCAATTCAGCTACTTTGGCTGCCAAGACACATTGGTGGGACTTTAGATGTACAGACCAGCCATGAGAAGAAGTGATTCTTCCCACTGGGCTTCTGATAATCCACTCAAGACAGCAACAACAAATTATATTTGTATAATGCTTTTCACTTCGGAAGGATGTCCCAAGGTGCTGAACAGTCAAGGATATGGACAAAGCCCTAGCAGTTGGGATAGTCCTGGTTGGACAAGCAGTAGGAAGCTTACCAGTGCTCTGCATGGTAGATAGTGCAGTTTACGCTGGTTATGGCAAAAATTATTTTCGTGATGCCCCTTTAATATCTGAACACCATGACTCCATGGTCAATTGAGCCTTCAATGATCAATTAATGGAAATGTGACCCAAAGATGGGTGAGTGGGCCTTGTGTGCGAGGGAGGGTCATTGATTGCATCAGTGTTAGTTACATATTTCTGGGTCGGAGACACATTGAGAGCCAACAGCAACTAGGGAGAGTTTCTACGGAAATTCCCTGGCACAAAAGTAAACAAGCTGTGAAGTCAGCCTCTGGCATCTGTAGATAATATCTGGTGGGTGCAAGCAATGTGAAGACGTCTTCAGAATTGATGCGTTTTCTTACTAAGTATCATTGGCTCGCATTATTCGCACAGTTTAGAACTCTGTTATAAAGCACTCCATTACTAAGCGGGGTTGTTTATTGGGAACTGTGTGTGACCTCGCCATTTAATCACCCCCCCCCCCCCACCAACGCCTCCCACACCAAAAAAAAATCATAAAGGGTGCAGTTACGCTCCATCGTCACTTCAGCATGCTGGCTGGCAAGCGGGAAGTGATATCAGCGGAGATTTGATGACCTGGAAGTTTGGCTTTCCTGCCCCTGGATGGTGTTTTATCTTTCACGGTGAACGTGCATGTGAAAATCGATCGGCAATCGGCAATCACACCCCTCCATAGCTCTGGTTGGCATTTTATGGGTCCTAGTTAGCATATTATAATTGGAGCCGAGTGGGGGGTGGGGGGAGTGGGGGTACTTCACAGTTACGCACCATTCGTTTGAATTGCAAAAGGTAATTCAAAATGATCCAGCAATGTTATTGTTTGAGTGCATATTTTCTTGGAATGAAGTGGGCTGAGGGAGGAGGAGGAGGAGGAGGAGGAGGAGAGCTCTACTTAGTATTTAGAATGATTTTGGCATAGCGCTTACGACTGTCTGGTTTGTGCGTGCGTCTGGGAAAAAGGAAACTAGGTTGGTCTTTGTTTCTGATGATGTTCATTTCCTGGCTTTTCCTGGAACACTGTTTGCCCAAGGGAGGGTTGGGGGTTGGGGGGGGAAGTCCAAATAAGAGAAGATTTGGATCATTCATTTTAATTTGGTAGGCACATTTCAGCTGAAGGCAAGCATGGTTTGCACAGTGTCAACATGACTCATTCAGTAACACTCTGGCCTCCGAGTCAGATGGCTGTGGTTTCAAGCTCCTATGTTCAGGGACTTTAAACTCATAGCTGGGGGCGTGCCACACACTGCATTGGCAGAGACGCAGTGCTTCGGATGTTATATAATTTATTGTTATGAACTGATTCATTCGAAATCTTTAAGATTCAATTTATGATTGTTTGTGGGATGCTGCTGGTTTCACCCACATAATATACGGTTAATTCATTTCACAGTATATGCTGTAAAGCCTTCGAGACGTCTCAACGACGTGATAAAGCGCTATATCAAACGCAAGGATTATTATCATCATCATTATAAACAAGCCTGTCTTGTTACAGTATCGAAGGTGGCTGCGGATGGAGCTGGGAGAAAGCAGATTTAATGACAAACAAGAGATCGGGAAGCTGCTGTCGGAGTACAATGAGCAACAGAAGCAACAGCAGCCAGGATGTGGGCAGCCTCGCTGGGCAAACCCTACAGCGACTGTCTACCCGCTGCCCTACAACGCCTATGGCACAGCCAAGCATGGGTGGGTGAATCGATAAGGAGGCTCACAGCTGTAGCTTTGCCGCGTTCATTGCCACAACCAAGGCAGAATATATCTTTATATATCTATGTATATATACAGCCATATCAACCGCCAATGCAAGACAAAAGCACAGGAGTGAAACTTGCGATGTTTCGTAACGCCTTCCTTGTACTAGTTATGGGTTGTTGCTGCGTAATTTCATGGAAAGGTTTCCAGAGTCTTTCCAAACCTTATTCAAAGTGCCTAAGAACAGCAACTAACCTACTACAGTTAGGTTTCTTGTTAAACTTTATTAAGTGCAGCATAGGGACTTCATACTGTGGCACAAGGGCTACTGCTTAGTTATTCGACAATTTGCAACTCAGCGACATCTTACCCACAGCCCCCGTGCCGTAAAATGTGGACATAATTTGCTTCCTGCGCATTGCAGCCTGGATCAGTGCTTATTTATTATTACCAGATAATCCTATTCACTTTTCGAAGGAATAAAGTAAAATTCAGTCTTAAAGTTGTGGGGATTTTTTTTTTTGCAAGTGTTGCTTATAACATTCTCTCTCGTGGAATCTCGTAGCCTAGTGGTCAGAGCACTCGCTTCGCAAGCGAGAGGACCCAGGTTCGATTTCCAGGCAGGGTGAAACCTTAGGCAAATTTCCTTACTCCACACACCTCTGTTCATCTAGCAGTAAGTAGGAACCCAGCTGTTAGTCGATTGTTGAGATTGCTTTCTGGCAGTAATAATCCCTTAAAAAAATACTAATAATAATTTGGTCACTCAACAACAACTTGGATGACATCTCAGAGCGCTTCACAGTAACGGATCCCGGGGCTGAGCCAGGGGGAGGGGGGGGGAAGGTGACCAAAGGCGCGGTCGAAGAGAAAGGTGTTCAGCAGAGATCTGAAAATAGGAAGAGAGGGAGTGAGGCGAAGGGAGTGAGGAAGGGAGGTCCAGAGCCTCGGGGCATAGTGGCTGAAGGCACGGCCGCCGAGGGTGGAGCAGAGGACTCGGGGGACAAGGAGGATGCCAGATCCGGCCAGAATCCACAACTGTTGGGACACTGCTCTATGCAATTGGCTGCCACTTTTCGCCCACAAATTATACAGTCAATTCACTTTCAGGTATATTCTGCAAAGCATTTTGAGACGTCTCAACGACATGACAAGGAACCATATCAAATGCAAGGATTATTATTATTATTATTATTATTATTATTATTATTATTATTATTATTATTATTATTATTATGTCTTGGAGTGTGCTTTTGCGGAGATGGTGCCTGGCACAGACATTGTAGGGATGGAGGTGACCATATCTACTGACCTAGCATTTCTGTTGTGGTGGGTGAGGTGGTGTGGAGTTCTCTTTCTGTGGCTTTTAGACAAGAATGCCATTTGGCACTTTTCCACTGCAACATCTCCAGCATCAGATGCTTCACTCTTTGTCTTTGGCAAGATTCTGACTCTAGCAGCTAAGCCAAGGGCATGTCATCAAGATTAAACTTAATTAAAAGACCAAAAATCTATAAAATAACAATAACTTGCGGCGCACCATGACTGCTTGCACTATTATCCTTTCTGTTTTGTTCTTCCTCAATCACTCTATATGTCAGGCTCTAGGCTGCTTCTCCCAGAACCTCACATTGCCCGGTCATCAATATGCATTAAAATGGCAATCGTTTTCACTTTAACCCCATAAATGTCACCATTTCCGACTGATACGGAGCAGGATGTCTAGCTCTGGGGGATGATGTATTCCTTAATATCAGATGGAGTGGAGCAGAGAGGTAGAAACCTACTGTATCAAGAGTCCTGAGTGATTTCCATTGAAAATCCCAGTGTACAGTGGCTTAGTGGTCTGAGAAGGGGTTAAAGAAAAATGTGGTTTTAACCTTGTCATTCAGAAACTTCAAAAAAAGGATGCTCAAGGTGAACGGTCCATTGTCAGTGCTCCAAACTGGTCAGAGTTTAAGGATATGAACAATGATTGCGGTTATGTTTCTATACCCCAGATATTTGTTTTTCCAACAGTTTTAAATAAAGAAGGGAACTAAAAGTAAAGTACGTTCTCCGCACTTTGCTTGAATTTTGGGGTTTGGTTTCACGAATCTTATTGGTGCACATTTGTGTTCAGTTACATAACTTAACCGGTCGGTTAAAATACAAACATTCTTTGCTGAATAATAATAATAATAATCCTGGCAGATGATATATTTCCTTATTACATCTTTCTGATGTCTCAAAGCACTTCACAGAATATATTGTATAGGTTGATTGCATATTTTGCGGGAGAAATGCGGCATCCAATTGAGCATAGCAGTGTCCCACAAACAATCATCCGCCAATCGACTAACAACCAGGTTCCTACTTACTGCTCGGTAACCAGAGGCTTGTGGAGTAAGGAAATTTGCCTGAAGCTTCGACCTGCCCAGGAATCGAACCAGGATCCTCTTGCTAGATGTGCACACAATATTTGTTGCAATTGCCTAAAAAACAGTCACTACCCTCACGGTTACCACTGTGAAATTGAGTATTTCAACTTAATAAAGTGCTATAAAAATGCAAGTTCTTCTTGTTGTTCTTAACTCGACGAATGAATAGGTAGGTGCCAATCACGGAATTTTTAATTTTGGTCAACTGGGAGTCTGACACACAAATCCCCATCACTGTTCTTAACACTACCCAGAAGAGTCAGAGAGGTCTCCCATGCCTGCTACCTAATCAATGGATAAGTCCCTTTGTTAGAAATTGTCTCTTCTCAGAGGGACACAGCCGACTTACCTAATTCTAGAAACTATACAGAAAGTGTGAGCGCACATTCCAGTTCTGTAGGTCTTCCTGAAAGGATAGGTTAAGCAGTCTCGGTGCTAAATGATATCCTGTGCTACTGAATCAATGGAAGGTATCCAATGGGTTTGAGTGATATGTGATGGTTTCGTTGGAAGTGCAATTAGCTAATAATTGGACAATTTCCAAACCAGAACTGCAGGGCAAAAGCCTTTAGATATCTATTTTTACCGTTGGGGTGATGTAAAGTCTGAGTGAACATGTTAGCATGAGTGTTGTGTGAGACACCTCTGCACAAGCTGAGGCACATCACTGTCAACAAAAAGGAATCATGGAAGCCAAAACCAACACCAGTGATTGATCCAGCATTAATGTTTGGTCTTCATGGACAGCTCGGAAGCATTCATCATCTCTCTGGCAAAACATCAGCCAAACTTAAACCAACAAAATAAAGTTACCGGATCCGTTCGTTTTCACAGAAGCTGGAAAAATGGACTGAACAAAACGAAATGTCTTGTTTTTTGCCTCATAAAGAATTAATTATGAAACAAATTGACCCCAGTTGTTCTTATCTAAAAGCATGAATAAAAGGCACAATTTTCAGTTGACATAGGAATAATAATAATAATAATTATCTTTGCATTTGATATAGTGTCTCTCAAAGTGCTTCACAGGATACATTTTTTTAACCGCATAGTCTAGTGATTGTGTATTTTGTCGGCAAAACCAGAGCCGCCAATTTGCATATAGAAATTATCCTACAAACTGACACGAAGTGAGTGAGCAATTTTATTTCAGAATCATTATGAATTTTCCAAATAAACCATGCTTGTAACTTCTCAGAATGGATTGTTTCTGGTACTAACTCATGACCATTGGAACCTCAAATTCCAGCTGCTCCGAGCCTGTGAGACCATTTGTGTTCTAAAATTCAAGATCTCACAGAATTAAGAAAATTCTTAAATTCGGTCTCAAGGTTGAAATTTTTTTCCGACAGTTTCTAAAGAGAAACCTACTCCCAAATGCAATTTTTTCAGAGCCCTTAAGCCTTAAATGTAACATTCAAAATCTTACATTTTTAAGGCAAAAACTGTTTCTCGAGCTAAGGCTGAGTCAGTTTTGGGGTCTTTGGAATTAACCTTACTTTCACTGCTGGCTGGGAGTTCTGCAACGGAACCAAACTTAGTTCGTAAAAATGAAAGTGAGGTTAACTAAAGCATGCGCCACTCCCAGGTCCCATAAAACCAATCCCCATCTTTGCTACTGCATTTGAACTGTATTTTAATCAGAGTAATTTATCCCGTACACAAACTTCAGCACAGAAAATCCTTCTCAAATAATTCTGATTATCTTCAAGCTCACTGATTAACCATGGTTACCAGACACGATTGGAGTCGTCGAAAGATAGCACCTCACATTGAAACACAGTACAGCACAGTTCGAGGGATAAGAAATTATTCCTTCTCTGAGCAGAGCTTTGAAGCAAAGATTCTCTCAAGTGACATTAAGGTGAAATTTGCGTTCTGTGCACATCAAATATCCGTTGATTCCCTCTCCCCCAAGTTTTATCAATATATTGACTGACAGTGGGTGTGTTGTGTGGTTGAGGCAGTGTCAAATGCTTTTACTGGAAATCAGGTTGTAACCTGCATTTGTGGCATTTATTGCTGCTGATATACAAACGATTGATTTGTGTTACATAACCACAGATTAGTAAGTAATACACCTACAATGAAGCTTTGTCCAAGCTTCATGGGTGGGTATGTGTGTGCAAGCAGAGTATTTAATTCATTGTAGGTTGGTGGAGAACTTATTATTAATAATAATAATCTTTATATTTGATATACCGTAGCAATATCCCTCAAGCAGCCATGAAGTGAATGACTGACTAATAGTTTGGTGTGTTGGGGGTGGGGGGTGGATGGGGGGGGGGGAAGGGGATTGTTGACCAGGCAAAACCCCCTTCACTGTTCAAATAGTGCAATGAGATCTTTAATGCTCTCTCAGCACTGCATTGGAGCAACAGCCTGGACTGTTAGCTCAGAGTCGTGAAGTTGGGGCTTGAACCCACAAACCTTCTGTCTCGGAGGCAAGAGTGCTACCAAGTGAGTCAAGCTGACACAGTGAGATGGATTTAAAATATTAAGAAGTAATAAGTTACCTCTTTAAAAAGCTGCTCTGTCATGTTACTGGTACAATAACTGTTTCTCTCCTCCTTCCCGCCCATTTTAAAAATGAACCCTTCCAGTGAATGAGGTGGTAGGTCATATCATGAATAAAGAGAACATGGCTGGCATTCAAACAATCACATTCTCTGTAAAACAAACAACCCCAAACAGCGGTCTCCAAGGGAAGCCACAGTATTACTTTATATAGACCACAAATGGGTCAATTAGAAATTAGCGTTGATTTGGCACAATATTTAACAGGACGGAATAACCTCGAGCCAGATGTTGATACATAATTGGAGAGACGAGCTGCGTCCAGTGCCAAAGCGTAAAGATTCAAGCAAAAAGCGGTATGTTCAGGAAGGCGACCTCCAAGTGATCACTGGTAGGAAGTAATTACTGCCATGTGATGAAAGGAGATTGCTTTATTACACATGCTTACAGAATTGCTGAGGTACAAACACAGCCTTGAAAACCACCAACCCAACTTGACCTGAGGCACTTTCACTTGCCTGTCCGGGATGGAGTGATGCCAGACATGAAAGAAAAGGCTTTTATTTTTATAATGCCTTTTCATGTCAACATAATGAGAATAAATATAATTCTGGCATTTGATGTAGCACTTTATCATGTCGTCGAGACATCTCAAAGCCTTTCACAGGATAGACTGTACAGTGAATTGACCACGAATAGCCTTGGAGTGAGTGACCAATTTTGATTTGGAGGATTTATTGGTTAAATGTCTCCAAATACTTCGCAGGCAATTACTGTCAAACGGAGCTACTGTTTTTGTAAGGAAACGTGAGCCACGTGTCACAAAGACATGCAGTGAATGAGAGGATGGTAAAGGCACTGGAATTAGCTCACTTCTCTTCAAATAGTTTTGTGGGATCATTTGACTTCCACCTGAACAGGCAGAGATGGGACCTCAGTTTTAATGTTATTTCATAAAAGCTGGCAACTCTAACAATACAGTGCTCACCTAGTACTGCACTGAAGTGCCAGCCTGGACTATGAGCCCAAGTCCCAGAGCGGGGCTTGAACCTACAACCTTTGGTCGAGAGTGCTACTAACTTTAGACGCAATAAATGGGAGCACTGCATTGTCGGAGGTGCCTTATTGCAGATGAGACATTAAAACCGAGACTCCGTCTGCCTGTTCAGGTGGATGTTAATCGATCCTGTGGCATTACTTGAAAATCGAAAAGAGTTTCTCCCAGTGTCCTGGCCAACAATCCCCGAGATACCCACTTCATGCAGGTTTCTTTGTGGGACATTACTGTGTGCAAATTGGCTGCCACGTTTTAATCCCGTGAAGTCTTAACGCGCAATATCAAATATAAGGTTAATATATGTTAAGAGCAGGCAGTGAATGAGGACAGTGCCAAATGAGATAGTAACTTGGCCAAGAAAGTGTGTTTATACCAGTGTGTGCCAAGATATATCTTAGGTTTTACAAATCAGAATTGAGCCCTCAGTCATTGACTGGTTCTTTCTTCCCTGTTGAAACAGGAAGTCAGGATTCAAAACAAAATCTGCGTGCAGGATTGCTACAAGGTCTTTTTTAAAAAAAAATTTGGGTTTTTTAATTTTGTTGTTTCACCCACAAAATACACAGTCAATCCACTTTGCAATATACTCTGTGAAGCGGTTTGAGACAGCTCAACGACGTGATAAGGGGCTATATCGAACGCAAGAATTATTATTATTATTATTTCCGTGCTGGTTACTTTCAAAGTACTGTGGAAAACGTCTTTCACCTCGAGACCCGACTCCAAATCAACAACTTTTCTGGCTTCAATCAACCCTATATTCTCAAACTTTTCTTTCGTAACTCTTATCTTCGTGTTTTGTTTGAGGGCAGTCGGGTACATACGGAAACCCATCACCATACTTAAGAGTACAGTAAAGCTCATATAAGTCATCAATTGGAATCATAGATTTAATATGACTTTAATATGCAAAGTATGAATTATTGTCAAACTTGGATCGAATATAAGTTCTTGAACGGGACTTGGGCAGATGTGAGACTCAGGTGATTATACGACTTATGGCGATCAGAGGTACGCAAGTTTTACTGTATCCAAACTAGACGGAGAGTTCCACCAGTGTCACCGCACCTCTACCTGGAAATCTCCCTGTCTGGTAGGAAGTGTACTATATGGGGCACCTCAGCCCCCAAGGAGATGGCACCTTTCTCTCTCTTCCCATATTCCGAAGTGTCCCAAAGCATTTGGACCGGTGGCCACGATTTCACGCAGATTAATCACAGCGTTGGGTGACTCGTGTTGACTGTGGTTGGGTCGAGGGCTCTGGGATTGGGTTGACAACACGAGTGAGTGAGTGAGTGAGTGAGTGGGAGATCACTTGCTTTCTTTTACCTTTAATCAATAAAAATCCCGACTTCACATAACCGTTGTCGTTTCATCAGAGCTTCACAGCAAATTGATGGTGAAGAGTCCTTTGGGTGAAATACTAAAGGCAGTGATACCATGAAGAAACAGGGGGAGGCGTAATGACTTGGGATTTCCCCCCAACCCACTCACCCACCCACTCACCCACCCACCCACTCACTCACTCACCCACTCACCCACCCACTCACTCACCCACCCACCCACTCACCCACTCACTCACTCACTCACTCACCCACCCACTCACTCACCCACCCACTCACTCACTCACCCACCCACCCACTCACCCACCCACCCACCCACCCACTCACCCACCCACTCACTCACCCACCCACTCACCCACCCACCCACTCACTCACTCACTCACCCACCCACCCACCCCCCCCACCCCTACCCACCCACTCACACACCCACCCACTCACCCACACACCCACTCACCCACACACCCACTCACCCACCCACTCACACACCCCCACCCCCACTCACCCCCACCCCCACCCACCCCCACACCCACCCACTCACCCCCCCACACACACACACCCACCCACTCACCCACACTCACCCCCCCCCACACACACACACACACTCACCCACACACACACACACATCGAGTGGTGCTCTGTAAACCCCCCCACACCCCCACCCCACCCCCACCCCCATCAGGAAAAGGGCTTTTGCAAAAATTCCCTTTGCCCCAATAAAGTGCAGAGTTTGAAAGTTCCTCTGAATGTGTGATGGTGCCCTCAGCCTCCAGGTGATGAGTGCCAACACAGCTGTGCAGGTAGTGGCATCAGTGTGTGTGGGGGTGTGTGTGGGTGTGTGTGTGTGGGGGTGTGTGTGTGTGGGGGGAGGGAATGGGACACTTTAAGTCGTGATACAAACGAATGCGCAAAGCGACCTCCCAGTTTCGCAATTCGGAACAGAAATATGTACCAGTTTGATTTCTTGTAAAAGGTGGAATTGGGAGGAAAATCCCTCCCCGAAGCCTTCTCTCTCTCTCTCTCTCTATCTCTCTCTGTCTGTCTGTCTGTCTGTGTGTCTGTGTGTCGTGTCTCTGTGTCCTCTCATTGGTGTTTTTTTTTTGGAGCACAGCCCTACATTGGTCGTGTTTCCTTGTCAATTACACGCACACTCACACACACGCACTCACACACTCGCTCCGCCTTCCCCAGAGATGAATAAATAAATACAGTAAAGTATAATCCTCTATAGATCCGACGTGAGATTGTGTGTGTGTGTGTGTGTGTGTGTGTTATTTGGAGGGTGGGAGGGGGAAACCTATCTGATTCGAGAGCCCAGGCAGAGGATCTCAGGGCAAACCCCCCCTCTCCCCCCAAAAAAAGTGTCACCAACAAATCAGAACAGCAAAACCAGACAGTAACACTCACCCCCAACCCCCCCCAAAAAAGTGTGTCCCCCCCTCTACATCTCTCTCTCTCTCTCTGCCTCTGGTTTTACTGTTAGGAATCAACACAGATCTGCGGAACACACACAGCAAAAGGTGAGGAAACTTTTTATTTAAAACACTGTGTGTGTAAAATATACCATCAGAGTGGTGGTGGTGGTGGGGTGGTGGGGGGGGGGGGGGGGGGGGAGAGGGTGTCATCAAATCTTAACTTTAAATGGCTTTACAGTGCGTCTCTCTCTCTCTCTTTCTCTCTCTCACATCGTTTTCTCTCGTTTTTTAATGACTTTAAACGCTGGGTTGGACTTGTGCAAAAAAAAACATCCCCAAAAGTTGCTGTTTGTGTGTTGGTTTGTTTGCTCCAAAGTTGTTTTGTTTGTTAAAAAGTCATCCCCCACCGTGTTTGCCACTTAAATTCCTGAGTGGGGGGATTGCTGGGGTCCTTTTGTACCTTTTCTTCTTCTTGTGTTGTTGTTGTTATGTGTGTGTGTGTGTTTGCTGTTTTATTTAGATTGCATTTTGATCAGGTCCTCTCCCCCCAACTTTTTTTTTGTGGCTGTGTTATAATGGGGTGTTGTTATTGGGGGGTTTATTTGCAGGGAACCAGTTGGGAGAGATGGGTGACAAGAGTGTGTCGGGGATGAGACGTCTCAAGCAGTGGCTGATCGACCAAATAGACAGTGGGCATTACCCTGGTTTGGTTTGGGATGACGAGGAGAAGAACACCTTCCGTATTCCCTGGAAACACGCCGGAAAACAGGACTATATCCAAGAGGTGGACGCGTCGATCTTTAAAGTAAATGCGGGTCTTTCCATCGCTCACTCTCGAACCGCAGTCGTTAAACGTCTCTCTGTTCATTCAAAAGCCTCACCTTTCTCGTTGAAGGGCGATTTTTTTTTGTTGGGAGAAAGCTAGACAGAGATAGAAAGAGAGAGAGAGAGAGAGAGTGAGAGAAAGGTGGGGACAGTTAGAACCAGGTTGCAAATAATAATAATAATTCTAATAATCCTTGCATTTCTCTGCGAAGCGCTTTGAGATGTCTCGAAGATGTGATAAGGTGCTATATCAAATGCAAGGATTATTATTACTATTATTATTATTATTATGTCATTTGAGCTGTCTCACAGCATTTCCCAAAATACATTTATATTGTGAAGTGTATTCACTATACTGTGTATTTTGTGGGCGAAACGTGGCAGATAATTGCGCACAGCAGTGTCCCACAAACCGTCCAGGCTGGTTTTGCAGTTTTTAAAAAAAATTCAACAGTAATAATAATCCTTGCATTTGGTGTAGTGCCTTATCATGTCATCGAGACGTCTCAAAGGCTCCTCGCTGGATAAACTGTAAAGTGGTTTTGAATGAGTGTTTTGTGGGGTGAAGCGTTCAATCCCAACTTTACTTTTAATAATAATAATAATCCTTACATTTGATACAGGGCCTTTCACGTCGGGAAGACATCTTGAGGTGCATTGCAGGATTTACTGTAAAGCATAGTGACTGTGTATTCTATAGGCAAAAGGCAGAAGCCAATTTGCGCTCAGCAATGTCCCACAAACAGCCATAAAATGAACGATCAATTTTATTTGTGAGAGGGGTGGGGATTGTTGGCCAGGAGGCTGGTAGATACTCCGTTCTATTTTTGAATAGGGCTGTGGGATCTGCGTGCTGTTACTTTATTTGGAGCTGGTGTGGGTATCGTGTGAAAATATCTAATAATGTGGGTGTGTATGAATTGGACTGAATTACAAAGATGTGTTTCCGACCATACAGAGAAATAACTGATGTGCTTTGAGCCATCTTGACAACGTGATAAGGATCTGCATCAAATGCAAAGATTATTATTATAACTAACTTCTATGTATATTCAATTATTAAGGAAGGAAAAGAGGTCACACATTGACTTTTAATCCCAGTTGACATCAAATAATGCACAGTTGACAAATCCGTTCTGACCAACTGTTTTGATTCGATGTTTGTCTCATCAGGTCAAGATTTTAGTTCGAAAATTTTTAAGTTCAAAGTTAAAAACTTTAGCTTCACATCTCGGGAGGCGCCCAAGTTTAGGAAGTTAAGCATTTGAACCCTAAATCCAAATAGAGGAGCTTGGCTTTAAAGCGATTAAGGAAACTGCACCATCTGAAAATATAAGTGGGTTATTTTTAATGCTATGTAGAGCGCTATGTTAAGGCATCTGAGAAAGTATTGATTCTGCACTGTACGTGGTTGGAAGGATGGGAAACAATGACAGTGATGCTCAAGCACCTTGGGATGTCCTCCTGATGTGAAAATGCAATTTATTGTTGTTGCTGATATTGTCATTTTTCAATTAGAACACTACAAGCNAAAAAAACCTTTGCTGTAGTCACGGACTCCTCATGTTTTCCCAGTTACCTAATTCACCTCGGACGAACCTCTGAGCCCCGAAATCCCACCGATAAGAACATTTTGGGTTAATATTTAAGGTCGTGTAGGATTGTGAAAAATCTTCATTCCAGTCTTAATTTAGAAGATGTTTTTCCTCCACACCCATTTTCTGGAAACAGAAACCAGCTTCTGAATATAACTGCAGAATTTAAGATTTAAGATTTAATTTAAGAATTTTCCGCAACTCTGAATCTTCTTACATTTTGAGAGAAAGTGGTACCACGGGCTAAGACTGGGTGGAATTTCAGGTCCCGGAGGTGTTGATCTCAGTTTGTAATGAATGGCAGAGGCAAAATAAATACCAGAGAGAACTTTGAACTTGCTGAACTGGCTCTGAAGTGTTCAGAGGCCGGAGGGGTGGGTGGGGGGGGGGGGGGGAGAGGGGGCGGGAAGAGCGTAAAAGATAAATCTAAATTGAGTTCAATAATATCTCTGGGTTACTTATTTTTTAAATTAAATCTCCTGCGATTAATTTTGCTTGTGAGCTTGGAATCCAAGTAGATTAGTAGATTTTTTAAAAAAAAAATGTGGTTACCTTCCGAACGGTTTCCACTTCGGGACTTGAACTCACACAGTTTTGTAGGTGAAATCAACAATTGAGGACCAATGTACCCTTCTGTGGAAAGTAATCTTGTAACGTTTACCACTGATTCTAGCCTAGACCCCTCCCCTCACCATACACACTCACACCTTATTTTCTTCTCCCTTTAACGTTTTGATGTCTGACCGTTCTTATGGTCATCTGCTCCCAACCCCTGGCTCGCCCTCAAGCTCCGCCGCGGTTAAACACTCTTAGACACTGCCACTCCAGCCTGAAGAGCCCTCTATCAATGCAAATTGTTGTTGTTTAAGGCACTGTCTTAAGCCTCTGTACTGGTCGCCAACCTTGATCTCAGCCATTCTTCACGCCTGAGCTTTGACTATGTCAAGACGCTGCGATGCATTGTCACGGAGGCTGTTTCTGCCCTCACTGCCTGATGCCTGCACGTGGGACAGAATTCAGTAGACAGCGATCAACAGTGAAAACCCTGTCTTTAACTGTCTTTAACCCTCTTCCTGGCCGAGAGGGGCGGAGGTCACTTGTGACGCCTCTAACTAAAGACTGACCAGGGAGTCCAACCTTGGAGCCAGCTGCCCGCTGAATCAATAAGGGAGCGGCCTGCAAGGTTTTAAAGCAAGCTGATACTTTCAGCTGTAGGCCGACTAAACACAAACTTTTGCTGCATTAACCTCTCAACTGATATCTCCAAAAGTGCAAAGTTGCAATTTATTGCTTTAAATGCTCTTTTTTTTAAAAAAAAGATACTACAGGAAATGGTTTGAGATCTGTTGCTAACTCGTGATGTATGCTCTGCACTATATTTTTAGGCATGGGCTATCTTTAAAGGAAAGTTTAAGGAAGGAGACAGGGCAGAGCCTGCAACATGGAAGACAAGACTTCGCTGTGCACTTAACAAGAGCCCAGATTTTGAGGAAGCTCTCGATCGCTCGCAGCTCGATATATCAGAGCCCTATAAAGTTTACAGAATCATTCCCGAAGGACAGCAAAAAGGTACGCGGAAAACTGCTTTGAGCTGTGTTTACACAAGATGCACTATCGCCCCTGCCAGCAAGTGAGAGTGGCAGCAATAAACAAAACAAGCAGCATGCTTGCGTTAGGTTGCCAAACAAATTGAGTTCAGACCCATAAAAGATGCATTCAAGATATACGGTCAGCTCAGAGGACACCTGCCTTAGAGGAGAGCAATGAGGTCAAACCCCAGTGTTGGAAAGGATGAACTATGGGGAACTATTAGGGCTGTAGCAAAACTGCCTCAGAGGGAACATTATTGAGGTTTATATTAACAAAATGCTAAATGGGATTAAGAAAGAGATTTGCCAAGTTAGCAGGACAAGAGGACCCCAGGTTCAGGGGTATGAAGAGTAATTTTAGGACAGACACCAAAAGTATTTCTTTTCAGAAAGGGTAATTAGCAGTGGAATGGGTCCCAAACAGCTTCCATCCACATGAAACTGTATGGGAGGAGCTGTAGCTGGTATTCTAGAAGGGAACATAAAGTAAAACTGAAAAACCTTTTTGATCCAAACCTCTTGAATCATTCTGGGGTGGCGGGCTGACAGATATATAATGAAATATCCCTGATGTGTATGCATAGCTTTCTCTCTCTGTGTATTCTGTTTGTTTACCCTGAACTAAACAGATTTTAACCATTTTTGAAACAGGTAAATCTTGCAGCCAGTCTGAGATGGTGGATATAAGCTCCTACCCATCGCATCAGGATGAGATGATGAAGGAGGTAACTATTCTTTCAACCCTAAGTTTATAGTTCAAAGCACCATCCACATAGAACAACCCTCATTGTACTACGGGAAGGGGGAGAAATTCCAGCCGGGTCTAAATTTACTCTGTTGATGTAACATTTCACAGTGGCCAGAATTTGGGTAAGATGTTGAATTCAGTCTTAACTTTGAATTCCATTTTTCTAATACTTCTCAAAAGAAACTCACCAGAAAACTGGCTTCAAACTTAAGGCTGCATTTAAAGCATTCCTATTGGCTCTGAAATGCGAAATAAATAGAGTGAATCTAGATGTGGGTGGAAGCTATATCCCTATGTTTAGTAGTTTGTAGATTTCCAGTTTGAAAGAGCCTCTTGGCTGTTGGTCTGAGCAAATTGTGTATACAGGAGCGCTGGATAATAAGGATACTTGCAATTGATATTGAATGACTTAGAAAAATGATGTTTTTAACCATATCGTTTGTTATCTATCCTAGTTAATAGCTTTGATCGATAATCGTTCATTCTGTTTTGATCCCTTTTAGCAGAGCTTTGTAGATTACAGCGGAATCATCAAGAGAAGTCATTCGCCACCACAGGAGAACTGCACAACTCACCAACAGCAAGACTGGTGGAGACTCAGTGGTTACGAGGGTAAAGGATTTTTTTTTGTATATATGGTATAGACAATAAATACGATTGTGTTGTAAATGAAACTTTCCTTTCATCGTGTGGAGTTTGCAGTACATTTTAAAGCAATGTAGTTAGTGTAGAACAGATGGGAATTCAGGTCACTGCATAACAACCGTCACGGCTTAGGAGATTTAAGAACAATGTGACATTCCTGTCACCTTCCTGCCTATTGCCTATTTTTGTTTTGCTAATCAACCTCAGAACATGCTCACCTTGACACAAATTTCCCCAACCAAGGGAAGAGTGTTGGCCTATCTACTGCACCGTTCCCCTTCAGTTAGTGAGATCCATGCGTGCGAATTAACCTGCCTTTTGTGTCCGCAGTTGCTGATTGTAACCTGTTTGTTCTCCTCCCTTCACAGAGACACCCATGATAATGAGTTATCGCCACGGGTGCGAACCCACGCACTTCAGCCTAGGTAATGAAATGCCTTTCATAGCTCGCTCAGTTGGTTACTTGTGCCTGTGTTGTTAATGCACACGAGAACACTCTATATTTACACAATATAATCAAATCAAATGATTTGCAAATTGACATCCACCTGCATCCATCCGCTCCGCTCTCTCATTGTGTTATTCAGTGCAGTCAAATAAACAAACAAGCAAAAAAATAAAACAATGAATCTACAAACAAAAATAATTTGGCCATTTCAATCCGCGACTGTTTGTGAGGACGCTGCTGTGTGCAATTTGCCCACAAAATACACAGTCAGGTCACTTTAGAGTGTATCCTGTGAAGCGCTTTGAGTCATCTCGACGATATGATAAGGCGCTCTATCAAATGCAAGGATTATTATTGATTATTTTTATATGTTACCATTTCAGGTGCCGAATTTTGCCACATGCTGATCACGTTTTATTATGGAGGGGTGGCCATGTCCCAGGCCTCCATCAGGCAGTCGGAAGGCTGTCGGATCACAGTTCGCCCCATTCCCATTAACGGCGAGATTCCCTACGGCCCTGAGACCATGGAGCCCATCCTGTTCCCAACGACTCAGAAGATCCTCAACCTCCGGCAGCAGATTGTCACCAACAAACTCTTGACCCACTTGGACAGGGGAGTCCTGCTCCTCAGCAATGATGAGGGCATCTACATCAAACGGCTTTGCCAAGGCAGGGTCTTCTGGAGTGGGCCCTGCGCACCCTTCACCGACAGGCCAAACAAGCTGGACCGAGATGCCGTCGTCAAGCTATTTGACACCAAGCTCTTCCTACAAGGTTTGTGCCTTTTGATGCGTTAACTTTCCCCCTCCCTCCCTCCCTCCCTCCTCCGAGCGAAAGTAGACAGAGAAAGAAGTAGAAACATCAGCAATTCAGAGCGAGAGAGAGATCCATCAGTAGGGGTTTTGTCTCAAAAGAGTTTTACATATTAAACAGTACTTTGTTTATTACACCCTTTGCCGCTCAAGTGGAAACCCATCACATTGAAGAGTATCCAAACCAGACATATGTACGTCACCTATATGTGGAAATTTCCCTGTCTGGAACGCGCACTCCCACTGGACCCTGCTTACCTCACATTTGTATTCGATACAGCGCTTTATCATGTTGTCGAGACATCTCAAAGCACTTCACAGGATATATCCCAAAGTAGAGTGACTTTGCTGTATCTTGTACCTAAAGCCGGAGAGTATTAGGGGCAGGTTTGCCAGAGGTTAGGGTGCGGGATGAATGGATGAGGGGGATGGATAGGGGTGGGGCGGGGAGGGGGGAATTTACAAATGTCAATAGGTATAAATCTGATCATGTGCAATGTTCGAAATGGACTAGACTCGTGTTGGTACCATCGCTGCCTGCTCTTTACACCATGTTCATTGTTTCACAGCTTGTCATCTCTACAGCGAAAACCAGATCTTGCTCCCACATCACAAAGTTATTATCTGCTTCGGGGAGGAATATCCGGACTCCAAACCCATCAGCAAAAAACTAATCACAGTGGAGGTAAGGTGATCAGTTCATAAGCACTGGGAGCAGTGTTGACTTCAGTGCCATGTGTTGGGATACACAGTCGGAGCCTGTTCTAACATGCCCCGGTATAGTGCGGGTGGAGGGGGGTTGGGGGTGGGTGTTGAAGCCAGGCCGCACTGGAAGGACAGTTTATTTACGGCTCCAGGCGTTAACTGACTGACTTCATGCATGTGGCACGCATACACTTTGCGCAGGAAGTGAAATCAGCGGCAGCCATTTTTATAACGTGGTGGGGCTGTGTTTTTTTATGGGTGGACCCAACCCATCCTGTTACAACAAGTGTCGTCGGACTGTATGTATGTATGTATTTTTCTTAATGTTTGAGTAAAAGTGAATTTAATTGTTGGCAAACAAAATTCCCTCTTCTCTCACCTAACAGATCGAGCAGGTCAAAGCCAGACAGATTTTGGACTTCTTACATCGCAGAAGGAACTTTGAAAACCCCAATCTACAGATTTCCAGCGAGACGTCAGAGGACAAACTCTCCGGAATTATGCACGAACTCTGTATGACCACCTACGGTAACGCACAGCGAGTGAGTATGGGATAAGACCCACAAAAGGAGCTGCACAAGTTGCTGATTCTGTGCTTCGAGGACTCTGGTGTGAGTGATTGCTTTTCAATGAATGCTAAAAGTGATGCTAAGGGTCTTGAGGCCCGGAATTCTGCCTAGTCTTAGCGCATAGGACCATTTTGTCTTGAAAATTAAGGTGGTCCGTTTTGCCCACAAAATATACAGGCAATTCACTTTACAGTATATTCTGTGAAGCGCTTTGAGATGTCTCAAAGACGTGATAAGGCACTGTATCAAATGCAAGGATCATTATCATCATGGTTCGGAAATGTGGAACATTTTTCTTCAGAATTGACTTAATTTGGAAGCCGGTTTCTTAAGAACTGTATGGAAACCCCCAGCTTCTAAAGGGAGGCTGGAACTGAAGAATGTTCCACAGTTCTGCGCCACCTTAAATATCAAGACAAGAAGGATTCACGGGGATTTCAAGCCAATTGGGAGATTTGATCGTAAACATTGGGTGAAAAGCGCTTTGCATTGCAAATTGATTTTTTCCTAAACAATCTTGTAATAATCCTTGATTTTTTTTGTTTTGTTTTCGTCTTTGTTTTGTCCAGTAACTTTTCAGTTCACTTGATACACACAACGCCCAATTTGCTAACTGTAACTGAGCAGAGTAACAAAATGTTTTACTCAGAATAGAGCAGTGACGTACTTTGCATTTAACTTCACTTTGTTGGCGGTGGGGGGAGGGGGAGAGATAATGGAAAAAACAACCAAACTCTGCAGGATGTATTGGGATAAATAAATGAGTTACAAATAGCTAAACGGAACATGGGCTCGAGATTGTATAACACTTGCCCCCAGGTGCAGCTGACGATCAGTTACTCCCACAAAATGTGGTCTGCAATACATGGTCTGTGACTTACATTTACGCAGTACCTTTTAAGTTTTTTTTCCAAAAAACCCCACTCCTTAAGCGCTTCACAAAATAGCTGAAATGAAAGTGAGATTTTTACAGAGGCAAAGACAGCAATGTCCCACAGACAGGGAGGCGAGCAGGTGAATTTATTTGAATTTGGGGGATTAATTCAGATTTGTGAGGGGGGATTGGTGGGGGGGGGGCGGTCAGGTGTAAAGCAGGCTAATTGGGCAATAGGTAGGTGAAGGCGGGAGAGTTGAAATGCACAGTGTTCCAGGGTCGTTCCACTTCTTACTCACTGAAGATAACCTGCTGTGTTTAAACAGGTGAAAGCCTCCCCAACACACACCCGCACTGATCATAATCAACACTGCTATCAGGGACTTGATGCTTATAAGGAAAACACAGGGAACAGTGCTCGTTTGTAACCAGGGAAAACTTGTATATAAATAGTTCGTACATTCAGGAATGCCCCCAGCTCAGGGATAAACTTTTTTTTCTTTTTGAAAGTCACGTGTTGCACTCATATCCAGGCACAAACCAGTTGATGTCAGTGCTGTGCTGGGGAGTTAGTTCATTGTTGTTCCTTACAGCGATGTACCTCCACAAAGCTTTATTTGGTCATTATTACTTGGCCATCTGTTGGTATTTCAGCACTGATCAGCCAGCTACCATTATCACAGCTAACACTGACATTGTAACCTAACGACTGTTCTCATAATAACCTACATTTCCCCAGTGCTGACAGTGATCAATAACCACATTTTGCAAACATCACAGCGATTTGCTTCACTCACCTCCAATTTACACAGAGTTTGCTTTAATGAATCGTACACTGACATTCCTCTCCTCACTCACCGTCCCCAGCCCCAGGGGAATGGGAGTGAACCCCACCAGCATTGAGCCTCTCCAGCATTGAGCCCCTCCCTATTACTGACATAATCAATACATCACGCTTTTCACCTAGAGACACCACAAACTGCTCATATTAGCCTGTAGACAAAGAAATACTTCCTGGTGTCTGTCCTGAAACCAAAAAAAACAAACCTGTGTCCTTTTGGTCGACTGTTTTGTGGATCCGAAGGCAATGTGTCCTGTTTTATTTTCTCAATTGCACTCAAAAATGTTCTGTACTTCTATACTGCAGTGGGGAGTGATGAGTGCCTTTTTATGAGCCTTTTGCGTTGCATTCAACTGCATGGAACCACACCAGGTGATTGTTAAAAGTATATCTATGTATCGCGAGGGATTTATTCCAGTGAGCTACAGAGTTATGTACAACCTTCTATGTTCCAAACTTCTCAACAAATTTTTTTTAAAAAGGAAAGGTGTTAATGTTGTTACTGTAAATAAAACGCTGTAAATAAAGGCGCCTGCCCTTTTATTCTTGTCAAGCTGTTCCCACGTCTCTTTTTAGTATCTTTGCGTGAGAATCACCCCTATGATTCCAGGCAGAGGGCGAAACCTTGGGCAAGTTTCCTTACTCCACACACCTAATAATAATTCCTCCAAAAACCAAAAACAATAATTAAATTGGTCATTTTCAAACTACAACTGCTTGTGGGACATTGCTGTGCGCAATTGGCTGCCGCGTTCGCCCACAAATATACAGTCAATTCACTTTACAGTGTGTTCTGTGAAGCGCTTTGGGACGTCCTCCCGACATGAAAAGCGCTATATCAAATGCAAGGATTATTATTATTATTATGATGATGGCGTATTTTTTGGCAGTGGTTCGGGGGATGAAATTGGAAAACATACGTTTCTCTCAAAGCAAGTTGATTGTCACTCACATTCACAGGGTTACTGCACACCTAAAGTGTTTGATTGTGCTGTCGGAAATAAGATGAGGGGTTATTTCCACATTCTCATTTTGTGATCGCTCCGTGTACGTTGGTTCACACAGGGCTTAAGCCATTGATACACTTATTTGCAGGAGACCAGTCGTTCAGGTCCAGCCTGTTCAGTCAGGGCTGCATTCCCCTCAGCTGGCAGATTAGAATCTGTTTAAACCATCCCAGCCTGGAGCTGCTCCAGCCATTGCTTCATCGACCCATTGCTGTGATGCTGCAATAACAGCTGTGATTTTTCTTGAACTGAATTGACTGAAACGACCTTCACACAGGCACAAGCCCTCAAATGACTGCAACCCTAACCCTCAAATGAACAGGAAATCCGCTGACAAAATACAGTCACTACACTTTAAAGTGTGAAGTGCTTTGCACAAAACGAATAGAAAGTGACCCAGTACAGACCTCTGAGGTACACCACTTAACATCCCTCCCACTCGTCCCATCCAGGCCCATCTCTTTGTCCATGTTACCCAGTGACATCAATTTGGGAAGGTATCTTTCATGCATTACTTTGTCAAACTGCTTTTGAAAGTCTACGATGCTCAACATCATACGGCTTCCAACAGTCAGCGTGGGTCACCACCTCTTCAAAATATCTAAGAAGGTGATCAGACGTGATCTACCCTTTCTGAACCTGTGTTTGTGGTCACTTAGATTGTAGCAGATCAACGCTGAAAGTCTCTATACTTTTCTGTTGTGGCTTCTTTCCGGGCGGCTGAAATTTTCAACAAAAAAAAATTCCTTTGCGCGGTGCTGTGTGAATCACAAGCCAGTGACCAAAGCTAAAATTCCACTATTCAGATGGCAATTTAATGACATAATAACTGCTTCAGGTTATAGTGAACCATCGACACAACCGTCCCAACTTTCCCAAAAATTCCTTTGACACGTCTATTTCATCATCTACTAACCCTAAATTCTATCGATTTCCAGGAACTTCTTTAGTTCCTTTTCGAAACCTTTTTCATGTAATTCATGATAGAGAGAGAAAGAGAGAGAGAAAGAGAGAATGGGGGGGGGGGGGGGAGAAAATGCAATTAAAAAGAGGGGAAAAGTGACCAAGAGAACGAGAGAGAAGTAAAAGAAAATGAAAGCCACACTGAGAGTAAATCGAAAAATACAGAGAAAGAAAAAAAGGAACTTTATTGATAAATATTATATTTATTACTACAGTACCAACAAAATTTAGCTGGTATCGCTCTTGGTTCTGAGCCAGAACTTTGAACTCACACATAGTCCAGGCTAATGCAGTGCTGGGGGAGTGCTGCATGCTACACTATCAGAGGTACCATCTTTTGGATGACAAGTTGAACCAAGGTCTAATCTGTGCCCATCCAGATGGATGTTAAAAATCCCATTGCGCTATTCCATAAAAGAACGGAGTTTCTCCAAGTGTAGTGGCCAACAATCAACCATAGGTCATAAAACAGGTCATTTAGTTCGGGTTAGTTCATGGCTTTTTGTGGGCCATTTATGCGTGCAAATTGGCTGCTGAGTTTGCCTACAAAATACATGATCATTACACTTTACAATAAATCCAATGAAGCCCTACGAGACTTCTTGCCGACGTGAGAGGCGCAATATACTGCAAGGATTATTAGTATACTGTATTTAAATTCCAATTCATGACCTGGATATCTTTACAGTCTAGCCATTTCCATACTTTTCTTGGTTTCTTCTTCACGTAGAAGGCAAACAATCAGCAGGAACGCTGGAGGGATTTAATTGGGCTCCAGTTTCATGGTGCCGGGCTTGTTGTAAAGCAGTCAGGTGCGCAAGGTAAACAACATACAACATGTCCAAACTGCTCTTCATGGCTGCACATAAGAAGATCCTCCAGCTTATGTTTCATCCTGAAGAAACAGGTTCCACTGAAACTTCGCTCAATTTCAAGCGCCATGCACGTCTTACACTGGCGTTGGAATGGAAATGGGCCAACAGAAATAGACGGCTATATCCAGGCTTGCAGAAGCACTGAAACTGCCGAGGTTTCGTAGGGATGCTTCCACATTCCACACGGCTCATTGAGAAACGTTCGCCAACTGAAGCTCACATCTGGAGTACAGAAATAACACTCAGTCACTGCTCAAGCTGCTGTGAGGCGAGCCACAGACTGGCTTAAAATGCGGTTCGGTTGAATAAGGTGAAAGTCAACGAATGATCTGTTTCAGAAACAAAAAAACAATCCTGATCTTATGGAGCAGAAATGGAACAAATTGCAATAAATAGGAACACACACACGCACACACACACACATACACTTACATCATCTCATCCATTGATTAGATAAGGAAGGAAGATAGGATTTGCATGTTACTGCACCTTATCTCAAGTAAGAAATGTTTCAGATGTAGATAATATCATGAACAGTATTTATATTTAGCAAAGTCCCTCGAACAACCATGAGGTGAAAGATCAATTTATCTGGAGGATTGTTGGCCAGGACGC